TATAACATCGTTAGCTCCGAGATCGATAGCATAATTATGTGACCGTACACGCGGAACAAAATTGATTTTTAGTGAACAGCCTTACAAGTGGAACAGCGGGTACCGCGCGATTCAGACTTTTTTAACGGAGAAGGACCTACATCTGACAGCTACGTACTTTAGAGCGTCTAAAACTCGCTCGCCAGGGCCGTGGCGGCGCCTCGAAGTAGATCTCCACGCGCGCGTAAGCGGGCGCAATACACGGGAATACTCTGATACAAAAATAATAAATAAATAACAGAAAATAACGGGAGAAATTACGGGCCGTCAAAAAAACAACTGCCTAGCGAGGAGCTAGGTTATCACGATGCTAAAAGCTTATCTGCTACCTTCGTTGAGCCTGTCTTCTTCGTTTCCCACGAGAGAATAGCCTCGTTCCACAACCGTCGTGCGAGGGGCTTAGGGGGCGTGTCAAACGTACGGTGTACGGAGCGCGTATGCGGAAACTTCTCCACGTAGAAAAATTGCCGTTCGAAGGTCTGGCTCCCGGTATAATATGAATGGAACGGGTCATCCGCACCAAATTTTGAACGAGCAAGGCAAATAAAAATCTCGAAAATATTTTTTCCGACGCTTATTCGCGTGGACGGTCACCACGGTGTTTTACGTCTGCAAATGGTGGTTGCGCTTAAATCGCGCGGTTACCTAAATTCAATCAAACCGCGCGTGCGCCACGTTAGCAACGCCACCCACCGCCTCAGTTTCCATAGAGTTTGTTTACATATACTTTGGAATTCAGTTATGGAACGTGTAGAGAAGCAGCAGAAAAGGCACAGGATCATATTACGATAACGCGCATAGCGTAGTAACCGCGTAACTCTACTGTGCCAGGATATCATTTCCTTAGCAACGCCCAAAACGGCTGTGCGGTTTACACATGCCATTCTTCTCGCACCTGTCAAGGCCAGCACACAATTTTTTCAAGGCAAGTAAAAGGTTAGTTCAACAGTGGTACAATTGATCTACAAAATGAACAGTATTTAGTTACTAGAACTATTTTTCCTGTGGATTACAGCCATTCCCCAGAGGTGCATAATTCGCATTAATGGAAAGTGTCAATGACACTAGTGGGCTGAAACTCCATAACAACAAGTTGGAGAAGTATTATAGAGTGTGTGCAAAGGTTTTGCAAGCTAAGGAAACAGCACATTTGTGTCATGAAATACTGAAAACATTCAACATTGACAGTACGACAGACCAAAAACATGTACATCCAAAGGCGTATTGCCACAAATGCCCCACAATTGCGAACAAGATCTCAAGTGGGGCTGTGGTTGAGACAGCAGTGGTGCTAGTAGACTGGGAGAGTCATGGGACTGACTGTTGGGTATGCAAGGGCAAAGCGGGGAGACCGAAAAAGGCTACAAAGAAGCGAGGGAGACCAAAGGTCGACAGCGGCAAGGGAGTTGCCAACAATGTTCTAAAAACTGCCCCCACAAGGGAGAGCAGTGCAGCTTCTCTCTATCGGCACATACAAGGTTGCTGCACGGTGTCTTGACAGGCCGATCTACAGTCGTGCAATTTCTCACACCAGCTTTTTCTCTCTCCTTGCACGACTGTAGATCGGCCTGTCAAGACACCGTGCAGCAATCTTGTATGCGCCAAGTTCATTAGTAGCCTAATCCTCAATGCCGAGTCAAGTCTTCAGTGCCCATGCTGCGAGGAACACCATGAACTCTCCCCCACACGGTTTGTCCCTGCTTCAGATGTTGTTCTGAAAGTTATCGGAGCCCTCTTGATACGTTGCGTCAAACCCTCTTGTACAGCGGTCATGAACAATCTCAAGCACTTAGCAGAGCACGTGAAGTCTGGCTGCGAAGAACACACTGTGTCCTTTTCATTATCCAAGCTCACGATGAAGTAGATCATCTCCCGTCCGCTCCAGTCACCTCCAACTCACCCCATCTTTAGTGAACTGTGGGCAAACAGCCACCACCAGTGTGTAAAATAGTGCGGTACGTCGCGCAAAAAATTGTTCTAGGCATTTCACTTCGACTATCCTGTCCTCCATAGATGTCTTTCTCCGTTCCTTAAAGTTTCATGTGGATATAAATTCAGCTAAACGTCCTCCATGCGGGAAAAACACGAAGTCCGCGAGCGGATGTAGATCCACAGCAGAGCGCCGGTACGTGAACCGAAGCCGGCCAAGTGTGGTACCGTTGCGTAGAGCAGAGCCTCACCGTTCCGCTTTCCCTCATGCTCTAAAGCGCTTGTACGACGCGACAGCACAGCGCAAACATCACACCCCTTACGTTGTCATGGGCCGTGGGTAAGAAAAATTGCGGCGCATTAGCGTTCTTGACGTCAGCGTCTGCTACGCGTAATACGTAAATGAAACACCCATGCACAAAGCTCGCAAACAGTGATATTCTTTGTGTATAAATTTGCTTACCCACATCTATATTTTATCACTAAGTACGGTAGTACTTAGTATAGGTTAGACGCGGAAGCGAGGTGTCTACGCTACATTGCAACCCGAGGGGCTGTGGAATGTTGGCGTCCCGTATTAGCTCTGTGGAAGGGGGCAAGTCCCTACCCACATGCCCCGAGATACTATCCAGGGCCATAACTACGGAACGGAACGGAGTTAGTGCGTCAAACTTGCGCAGACTATAGACGATAGACAGAGGTACTAGAATACGGGGGGAAAAGGGAATCGGTGAATTACGTAGTTCACCGTAAAACTGCCGCTACTACAACAATACTACGTCCGTGATAAGGGTCATTTTCTCAGAGCCTATACTAAGTACGGTAGTACTTAGTGTATAGGGATTGGCATGGTACCTAGCATCATAGATGTATGGGGCTATGATAGGGAGTTTTGTTCATCTTCTTCTTCTTCTCCTTCAGATTCAACACCCATAACTCAAAAATGAAATAACATAAAGTAATGAAACAATGTAGATATCCATCATCCACAACATTGATTACCGTAAACCAAACAACAAATGGATCACATGTGTCAGTATAACTAACAAATGGTAGGAGCTATGTGAACGAAACTTTGTAGACATCAATAACCAACATCAAAATGACAACAATACATGTTTGTAAACAACAACAAATAGCTTCAGGCACTTTTCTTTAAATTTACATCTTCACTCCTCAAACTCTCCAATGGTAGCACACACAGAGATGAAACTTGATAAGTATGCCTATTATAAATCATTTCCATCATGATTACATGTTTCCATGACGACCTCATATTGTTCGAAAAGGACTCGGGCAATTTTCTTTAAATTACTTCCTCACTCCTCAAACTCGCACACATGGAGGTGAAACTTGGTGCGCATGTGTATTACATCGTTTCCATGACGACCACAACAACAATAGCAGTAAATTAAATATCCTGCAAATTTAAAAAAGAGGCATATAGGGATGGTATAAAAAGAAAGGGAGACAAGATAGGGATGGGATACATGAGCATGGTCAATGAACAGATTTGAGTATGTTGACACCCCCAACCCCATCACACAATCCCTATATTGTTGCCTGGTATGCTACTCTTAAGGAAAGCAAGCATTCTTGTTGCTATTTCTACTTTTACAAGTAAATTAAAAATCCTGCGAATTTAAAAAAAGGCATATACAGTAGAAGTCAAAAAAACGTTTCCAAAATCGTTCACCGTTCAACCGTTGAACGGCGTTCACCGTTCACCGTTTATCCGTTTTCCGACGGAACGACGTTTCACACGTTCATTATCCGTTGACCTGTTCATGTTCGCGGTTACGCAACCCGCGATGCGCGCTAAAAGCTAATCGACGAATTCACCACGGCGGAAGTCTAGCCACCGAAATCGACGGTTATTTTTGGAAACTTTGATGCCATGCCTTTGCCAAGGCTTAGGCCTTGTGGTAAAGCGCGCCTCGCTACTCAGGATAGCGTACGGCGCGTAACTAGAAAAAGTGGGAGTGGCACACGCGCGCGAACGGCTAAACAGTGAACGGCTGAACGGTGAACGGCGTTTCTCCGTTTCCGTTTTCCGTTTCTCCGTTCGAAACGCCGTTCAACGGTTGAACGGTGAACGATTTTGGAAACGTTTTTTTGACTTCTACTGTAGGGATGGTATAAAAAGGAAGGGAGACAAGATAGGAATTGGATACATGAAGCATGGTTAATGAACAGATTTGAGTACGCTGACACCCCCAACCCCATCACACCATCCCTATATTGTTGGCTGGTGTGCTAGCTACTCTTCTAGAGGCTAAAGGTTACTAAAAGCAAGCATTCTTTCACCGCGTCCTTGTTGTTTTTAGTAATATTTATACTGCCACATTCCCTTTAATTAAACTCCACTTGGACTCTATAAGTTCACCATTACAATGCTCAGAACTTACAATGTACTACTCTGTAACCAACCCCCTTATAGAGTCCAAGTGGAGTTTAATTAAAGGGAATGTGGCAGTATAAATATTACTAAAAACAACAAGGACGCGGTAAAATTACCAAAATGTGGTGGTCATGGAAACAAGTAATCGTCATGGAAATGATATAATAGGCATATGCACCAAGTTTCATCTCTATGTGTGCTACCATTGGAGAGTTTGAGGAGTAAAGAAGTAAATTTAAAGGAAAGTGCCTGAGGCTATTTGTTGTTGTTTACACAATCATGTATTGTTGTAATTTTGATGTTGGTGATTGAATACGTTATGTCTACAAAGTTTCGTTCACATAGCTCTTACCATTTCTGAGTTATACTGACACATGTGATACCATTATAATGTATTGCCTGGGGCTATTTGTTGTTGTTTGCAGTAAACAATGTTGTTTACAAAGAAACAAGTATGACCAGTCTCTTTCGGTGATGGATATCTACATTCTTACAAAATTTAGTTACTTTCTGTTGTTTCGTTTTTGAGTTATGGGTGTTGAATCTGAAGAAGAAAGAGAAGAAGATGAACAAAACTCCCTATCATAGCCCCATATGTACATCTACATGATGCTAGATACCATGCCAATCCCTATATGTGACAAGTAAATTAACAATCCTGCGAATTTAACAAAAGAGGCATATAGGGATGGTTAAAAAGAAAGGGAGACAAGATAAGGATTGGATACATGAAGCATGGTTAATGAACAGATTTGAGTACGCTGACACCCCCAACCCCATCACACCATCCCTATATTGTTGGCTGGTGTGCTAGCTACTCTTATAGAGGCTAAAGGTTACTAAAAGCAAGCATTCTTTCACCCCGTCCTTGTTGTTTTTAGTAATATTTATACTGCCACATTCCCTTTAATTAAACTCCACTTGGACTCTATAAGGGGGTTGGTTACAGAGTAGTACATTGTAAGTTCTGAGCATTGTAATGGTGAATGTTTAATACTTCACCTAGGCAACAATATAGGGATGGTGTGATGGGGTTGGGGGTGTCAGCGTACTCAAATCTGGTCATTAACCATGCTTCATGTATCCCATCCCTATCTTTCTCCCATTCTTTTTATACCATCCCTATATGATTCGCAGGATTTTTAATTTACTCGTCTCCACTAATCTTTATATACTACTACGTATTAGCTCTGTGGAAGGGGGCAAGCCCCAATAAAAATTAATAATAGAGAAAAAAAGCCTGTTGTCGTGATGGAAATGATATGCATACCATGTTTCATCTCCATGTGTGCTGCCGTTAGCAAGTTTGAGGAGTGCAAGAAGTAATTTTAAAGAAAAGTGCCTGAGGCTATATATTTGTTGTTGTGGTCATCATGGAAACGATGTTACACACATGCGTACCAACTTTCACCTCCATGCGTGCTATAGTTAGCACGTTTTAGGAGTGAATAAGTAATTTTAGAAAAGTGCCTGAGGCTATTTGTTGTTGTGGTCGTCATGGAAACGATGTTACACACATGCGTACCAAGTTCCATCTCCATGCGAGCTACAGTTAGCAAGTTTTAGGAGTGAAGAAGTGTAATTTTAAAGAAAAGTGCCTCAGGCTATTTGTTGTTGTGGTCGTCATGGAACCGATGTAATACACATGGGTACCAAGTTCCATCTCCATGCAATCTACAGTTAGCAAGTTTTAGGAGTGAAGAAGTGTAATTTTAAAGAAAAGTGCCTCAGGCTATTTGTTGTTGTGGTCGTCATGGAACCGATGTAATACACATGGGTACCAAGTTTCACCTCCATGCGTGCTACAGTTAGCAAATTTTGAGGAGTGAAAAAGTAAGAGTGTACACCATAAGTATTCTGTGCTCGTCGAAGGGCAATCTCAATGAACTATGAACTTTGGTGGTGGGCGGTAAGTTGCAGCAGCCCTCGCGCTTAGATTAGACCAGACCCTTGACTAGCTCTTGGAGCCGACCCACAACCGGTTTCCCACGTTATACACACACACACCAGAGCTCACCTGCATGGCAGCAGCGGGTGACTGTAGCCCTGGGCCATCGAAGGGGTTGAGTGAGCCCCGACCTCCACCCCCACCGCCGCTCAGAATGGCATCATCTCCACCTCCACCCCTGTGGCGTGCCTGTTCAGCCCGCTCTTCCATATCAAACTGAGTCAGGATGTCGGACATCCCCCTAGCACGGCGGCACGCACAGGAAAAATGAAGACACCTGCGGATTTTTGGGTCTTTTATCACGTGAGCCAGCCCTAAGCGCATGCGCATCAGCTAGTCTTGTATTTTCAGTTCAAAACCTCAACACTACAGGTAATGTCACCATCTCTATCAGTAAATCCTCCTACTACCACCAGCCTGTTTTCAGGGAGTGTGGCTGCAAGGCACCAGGATCGCCTGTCTTTCATCTGAGTGACTCTGTTCCATGAGTCAGTGGTGGGGTCATATCCGTAGACGACGGCAGTAGGTTTCTCTGAGTCATCCTCCCCACCAATAGCCAGGAGATTCCCACCAAACAAAGCAAGAGTTGAACGAGTTACAGGGACATGGCTTGCTTCCTTCCATGCTCCGAGACTACTAGAAAGACTCCACAGTATCTTGGACCCAAAAGTGGACGACGTCAGGAGATTAGAAACTGTGCAGGAAAGGACACAGTTGGAAGGCTTGTCCTGTATGAAGCCACCAGCTAGGTAGAGCATGTCTCCCATAATGGCAGGGGACATCCACGAGCACTTGCGTGGGAGAGAGCACACTATGCTCCATTGTTTGGTGTCAGTTCTCATAACCTCGACAGTGTTGAGTCCTTCGTCAGCTGCAAGACCTCCTGCTACCACCAAAGCCTTCTCAGTTGTGATACATGCTGCACCGTATCGTGGTATGGCCATGTGAGGAAAGATCTCGCGCCACTCTTTTTCCTTCTTTCCGTCGACAAGACTAAGGAGGACATTTGTAGGACTGTTGTAACCAATGCCACCAACAGTAGTGAGGTGATCGAGAAAAACCAGGCCACAGTTAGTATTTGGGTTCTCGGGCAGCTGGGACCAGTGCTGTATCCCAACTATGTTATCGTAGCAGTAGGCTTTGACTGAGTTGGCAGGTCTGAAATAGGCCTTGTTCCCATGCACCACAGTTGCCCCCCTCCTCAGCTTCTCTGGTGCACTCTTGCTCCTCGTCCATGTCATAGCCCTGACACTTCTCCTACCACCTGCTGCCTCCAATAGTCTGACAGGGTGATCTGGTGGTAGGTCAATAATGACTGGTTCATCCTCCACCTGCCTGTGCTCCTCCACTGATGAGGTCGGCACCGGCATTACATTCAAATCTTCTTTGTTCTTTTGTACAACGATTAACGTATCTTTTTGCGGTGTCTCGCACAGCTCTGGCTTACTTTTGCTAACTGTATCATTTGAAGTGCTCTCTGTCAACTTTAATACTTCCATCCTTTCACCTCCACGAAGTTTCTGCTGCATCTCTTGCAGCTCCCTCTCTTGTCTTCTCATCACCCCACTCAAGGTTATCAATTCAGTCTCCTTCGCCCACAGCTCCCTGTTCTTGTCCTCGAGAGTTTGCCTGGATCCTTGAAGCCGCGTTTCCAAGCTGCGTACCAACCTGCGGCAATCTTGGAGCTTCTTGTCTTTGTCACATATCACTGCCTGTAGCTCTGCCATCTCTGCCCGATGCTCAGTTTCAATCTGTCGCTGGATGATGCTGCTGTTAGTATGTTGCACCTGCTCTAGGCTCTCCCCATACTGAGGGGACTCCTTTAGCTCAGTAATATTCTCACAGAGCTCTATAGCTGATGGACGCAGTCTCTCTCTCCTTTTGAGGCACTGAAGGGCTAGTGGTTTTAGTGAGTGGCTGTCTGGAATGAACTGGAGGTGTTGCTTGCGTCGTTCCCTGTCAGGAACAACCTGCCGAACATCCACTGTCTCATCTTCGGAGTCCTCAGTGGAAGCCGTCCAAACAGAGCGAAATCGGTCGGTGGGATTGGGGAACTGCCTGGTCAAGATCTGGATGACTATTACACCAAAGGAGAAGATGTCTAGCTTGGCTGTGTAAACCTTTGCATCGTCAAGAGCTTCAGGTGACATGTAAAGGATGTTACCTGGGCACAGGGTCAAGGCTGTCATCCGAGGATTGACTGTGGCAAGCTTGGACATGCCAAAATCAGTGATCTTAGCTCTAGGACCAGCGATCATTAGGACATTGTTTCCCGTTAGGTCTCTGTGGATGAGACCATTGGAGTGTAGGTAGATCAGAGCCAGTGCTATGTCGTGGGCGATGTTCACCTGAATGTGGTAGGAAAGGTGCCCTGGGGATCGCTCCAGGAATGCTGTGAGACTTTCGTCACAAAGTTCCATGAGGAGAACAGGCAGTCGTGTGTCAGGATCACAGTCAGTAGCCAAGTACTGGACTACATTGGGGTGCCTGGCTAGGCTAAGCAAGCGGCATTCTTCTTGAAACTTTGCAAGGTAGGAAGCGGACCCAGGGTCATGCAAATCGAAGAGTGTGGGGTGCATGATCTTGGCAGCACACAGCAGCCCATCACATCTGGCCTTACACACCCCTCCATACGATCCACTACCAAGACTTTGGGACTTGTAGAGCGTAATGTTGCGGTAGGAAAACTCAGTTTGTTTTGAGGTCATTGCGTGCCTTCAAAGTAAACACAGTTCATCAACAAAATATCCAAAAAACTAGCAAACTGCACCTTTCGGTTCGGTTTGAGGCCGTCCGTACGTCATGCAACAGGGGCGGACGCGACAGTGCTGAGTGCGCAGTACAAAGTTCAAGCTAATAAGCGCATGCGCATCTAACAGGTGGAAATATAAACAGATCACAGACATACGTGCACGGCAGAGGGTTAATTAATTACACTGAGAAACAATTAAAATATCTGCAACTCTAAGTCGAGCCAAGTCTCTGTAACACAGTGGCAGCCAGTGTCTTGCTCTGAGGGTCAGTGGCGGTGGCTAGTCCATCTCTCAGACTCGAGGCAGTGGAGACAGGGAGGGATGCTAGCTGTCCACTGCTGACCAGCTTGGCTGTGATCTTGTCTAGTGTCTGCAGAGCCACTCGCCTCAGTGCAGAGTACTTCACATTAGCTGAAAGAGCAAAAAAAACGACGATACCTAGATGCTGATGTAACAGACAGGGTTGATTACAGTACATGGTGGCAGCCACAGCACCATGGACCACGCACTCAAAGGAATAGGCAGAACCAATACTACAGAATGATGACTATGATCACAGGGTCAAACCTTCCAAGGGGGAGGATCCAAGCCTGATTTGTCACCTTATGCAATCACGAACATTGTGTATGTGGTGTGCACACACACACACACACACACAACACACTCAACCACACAGTCATTAGGTTAGCCACACAGATGTGTACAGTGACTAGACACTCACCTAAGAACTTGGTCAAAGAAGGAATAGTGCTGGCAGTAATAACACTCATATCAGAATCACTGATTCTCTCCACAAACAACCTGTAGGAGGGGGACACCACTAAGCTCCCAGCATAAAGCCACAGCACAATACTCCACTACTTTATGGAGTAAAGTAAACTAATGCACATACTGAGTAAAGACAGAGTGTAGAGCATTCCCCAGGGCCAGCTGGACTCTCCAGGTATAGAGAGGAATGGCAGAGGAGAGTGTTACCAATGTACCACTGAAGTGAGTACCTGGAAACAAAGAGTCAGTCACTAGCCTAACTCCAAGTAAATGATATTGCAAAGGAGGACAATAGTGATGGCATAAAAGGAAGGGAGACAAGATAAGGATGGTACATATTAACAGATTGTGAGCACACAGACATTACTTGAGCCCATGACACATACACAACATAAAAAACACATTAAGGGGAAGTTGAATGTGTAAAGTTTAATGAGTACCATTCGCATTGCGTCAAGAGGCTATAAACATGTATTCTGCAGGAATCGTGTATTGCCATGTGCAGGTGATGTAAAAATAAATTACGTATGTACACAAACTTTCATTCCCATACATCATAATGTTTGGGACACATGTGTTCCAATCATAATCTATTACCTGGGGCTATTTGTTGATGTTTACAGGAAATCAATTTGTTGACAAACACAGACGGCCATCCCGTTACGGATAACAACAATTGAACAACAAAATTTCATCATTCAATGTTTTTGAGTTACGCGAGTTCAATCTGATGAAGATGACAAACAAAATTCCCAACCCCTAAATCTATTACGTGTGATGGAGCCAGAGATTGTTACTATAGCTAGCTATACCATCATCAGACTAACCAAGCGCATGCATGTTCATATATCATTATAGTGTGCTTCACACGTACTAACAATGACGTAAAATGTAACATAACAGTATGTGTGGAGTACCTGTACCAGAAAATATTTTCATTCAGGCGACTATGAGGGCTCAGTTCACTTGCCAATACAGCAACGTTGTAGACTGTAGACAATCATGAATATTTTATCACCAGTTACCCTGAGTCTGAGGGCTGGCAGAGGCCCAGGTCTTCCCAGTGGCCTCAGCAGTTCTCTCCCTCAGCAGTAGCCTCACAGTTGCTCCCTCTCTCTTCTCCACCTCACCTTCCTCCTCCCCACTCTCCCTCCCTCCTCCCTCCGTTGCCTGTTGCATAAATATGGCAATGGGGCAAAAGAAAAGTGCACCTGAAAGTGAACACAGTTAATACAATCCGTTGTGTGGATTGATAAATGTGCATAGTTTATTTGTTGCTTCGCCTTGGCCTTTCCACCTCGTTGATGACAATATGCAGAACAGCAATGAACATGCTGACAAAAATTGAAGTGTGGGGCTGAAACACTGTGTATCACACTCAGTACAAAGACCAAAGTCAACAATACGACTCTTACAGGGAGGAGGATTGGGAAAGCGATTTCACTGAACTCTGAGAAGACGTCGACCTCCAGTGTACTAGCCACAGCACCCAGGGTCTGTATGGCCACACCTCGGTAGGCAATGTTCTGTTTCTTGCGGCACTGTGAGAGGAGTGCAGATGTGATGGTGTGAGGAGAGGGGAGGGAGGAGGTGTTGCCAGTTACGAGGGTGGCCAGCTTCATGTGAGTACAGACCTTCCGCAATGCCTGCAACAGAGCCTCCTGAACAAGGACGAGAACGTAAAGGAGGCATAATACGCGTACATGTTACCATTCGACATTCATTCAGTAACGTCGGTCATACTCAAGTAGTCCGAGCAACAAATTACAAACACCATGCCAACTACCATCCATGCTAGTTACTACAAACTACAACGAGACCTTTCCATTCCAAGTCCTTCCCTGGAGACCATCCAGTTGTGTGTTCAGGATAATGGCCAGTTGGTCCTGTGGCAGACTGGAACCTACAACATTGAGAATGGGTATTGAAATAGCACACTTGAACTATACTGCTAAAGTCTATTGAGTTCACCTTAGCCCCGGAATGTCTTTTTGCAAACTGTTTATACATGTACCATGTAATGTATTATGGTATACTTTTCTTATGGGACATATAGGGCTATGGGACCTGATAAGGTTTAGAACGCAGTGAAGAATATCATCAGAACGGGAAAGTTGTGAGGATCTCATTGTATTAGCATTTTTACAATTGGATGTAAAATAGAGCAATTTGTCATGGGCCAGGTGAAGTCGAATCACTACTAAGTACGGTAGTACTTAGTATACAAGTAAATAATTCTTCGAATTAAAAAGGTGTGGAATATAGGGATGCCATAAAAAGTAAGCAGACAAGACAGGGATGACCTAGTGAACATGATGCAGTAGTACAATGGATGATGGCTACATACTTTGAACTGACATCGCTTGCTCATGTAAAATTTCCTCCACACAAGCCCTCTATTGTCGCCAAGTATGAGTGTTCTCCCTTGTACGATGCACAGCTACGATTAATTTCATAAGCACATTCGACAAGTAATACCATCTACTCGGTTTTCAGTTGTGACTGCATGGTGTGGAGTCTAAGCCTTTGCTCAACTAACAAGTTTTACAATGCTGCCACCTACATACAGAATCCTTTCACTATTGTCCTCGCACTTCACTTGTCCTCGCACTTCACTAAACAAACAGTGAAAGTGGCGACACTATAGGGCTTGTGTGGAGGAAATTTTACATGGTAGTACTTAGTGATAGGGATGGGTACGGTACCCAGCATCATAGATGTATGGGGCTATGATAGGAAGTTTTGTTCATCTTCTTCTTCTTCTTCTTCAACCAGAATAACTAAAAAACCGAAAGAGATGAAAAGCACTAAAGTGCAAACCCTCGGCACACTGTGGAACCCATACGCACAGTGTGGCACCACCACAATTGATGGTTTGAGGGGTGAAGAAGAAATTTTAAAGAAAAGTGCCTGAGGCTATTTGTTGTTGTGGTCGTCATGGAAACGATGTTACACACATGCATGCCAAGTTTCATCTCCATGCGTGCTACAGTTACAAAGTTTGAGGAGTGAAGAAGTAATTTTAGAGAAAAGTGCCTGAGGCTATTTGTTGTTGTGGTCGTCATGGAAACAATGTTACACACATGCGCTCCAAGTTTCACCTCCATGCGTGCTACAGTTAGCAAGTTTGAGGAGTGAAGAAGTGGTTATAAAGAAAATTGCCTGAGGCTTTTTCAAACAAAATGCAGTCGTCATGGAAACACGTAATTGTCATGGGAATGATATAATAGGCATACATACATGTTTCATCTCTATGCGTGCTACCATTGGAAAGTTTTAGGAGGGAAGAAGTAAATTTAAAGAAAAGTGCCTGAGGCTAGTTGTTGTTGTTTACAAACATGTATTGTTGTGATTTTGATGTTGGTAATTGAATACATTATGTCTACAAAGTTTCGTTCACATAGCTCTTACCATTGTGAGTTATACTGACACATGTGATCCCTTTATAATGTATTGCCTGGGGCTATTTGTTGTTGTTTACAAAGAAATAGGTATGACCAGTCTCTTTGGGTGACGGATATCTACATTGTTACAAAATTTCATTACTTTATGTTATTCCATTTTTGAGTTACGCGAGTTCAATCTGAAGAAGAAGATGAACAAATCTATGATGCTAGGTACCATGCCCATCCCTATCACTAAGTATAGTACATCACTAAATACAGTGGTACTTAGTATATAGGGATTGGCATGGTACCTAGAATCATAGACGTATGGGGCTATGATAGGAAGTTTTGTTCATGTTCTTCTCCTTCTTTTCCTTCTCCTCCTTCAGATTCAACACCCATAACTCAAAAATGAAACAACATATTATAGTAATGAAATTTTGTAAGAATGTAGATATCCGTCACCCGAAGAGACTGGTCATACTTATTTGTTTGTAATAATAATAATAAATGAAAAACACTAAAGTGCAAACCCTCGGCATACTGCGCATGCACGGTACCGCTAATTGATGGACTGGGCTTATTAGTATGTTTACTCGTGATCTTCCGCTAGTAGCTCGCTGAAACTGGCTAGCTACAGTAGTAGATAGCACGCGGGAGTCGATACACGCCCTTCGTTGTGACCTCTTGTGCCTCCGAGGTACACAGATAAAGAGGATCAGGAGTGCTAATTAGCATATTGGCTTGTTCACTTGGTTTTCACACCATAACTTCTGAACGCGGCACTTTTACGAAAATCGCCATTTTAAAAATCAAGCCAGTGTAGCGCTGAACCCGTTGCTGTCGCTATTTTACCTGTTTGTTGCGCGTGGTGGCAGAAAACGTGGTAACAGACGGACAGACAGACAGAAAGACAGACAGACGGACAAACCAAGTACTGTAACCCTCGCTGCGCATGCGCGCCGAGGGTTAATAATCATAATATCACTAGGGCCATAGACCACACGCCCAGTGCAATGGGCGGAACCGTTAACAAACGAACATACACCATATGAACATGAGGTGTCTGTCTCACAACACATGACTCACACTTTCACACTCATCATCACACAACAGGCACTCCTTCACCCCCTCCCTCCCCCTATGCCTACCCAGTTCCTCATTTAGCCCATGCGTGCCTGACCTGAACTTAAACATTAATCTAGACCCAGCATCACTTTTCCCATGCAAGTATATACTTTTTGAACTCTACCACCTTGTTAAATGTCTTTGTACAACATAGCCAAGCCCATCACTTACTGCCCCACACATGCATAATGAGTGTCTCTTGTGCCGACAGATTGCAATTATGTGCTTTGTATTTAGTATTAGCTCATACTGACACAACAGATATTTGCATTGTTTTCCAGGTCAAGGTTTAGTAATATGCCAGGAACTATGTACATAAACACCCAGTATGAATCAGGGATGCCAAGACAAATGACTAGACTCAGTGACTCACCCATCTTCTCAGCCACGGTGGCGAGAGCTGCAGCTCCCTGGGACTTGATGGGCCAGGACTGGGACTGGAGGGCGGAGCTGGCCACACCCACCAGCTGGGGGAGGTAGAGTCGGACGGTGGCCTCCTCTCCAGGCACCACCTCACTCCATGTCTCCTCCCACTGCTTTACCACTGCTTTGGAGTCCGGGTCTGAGGGAGAGAGAGAGGTGACTTATAATTATGCAGTCGTCTCATGCCATGCTTGTGGCCATAAGCTTGGTTTTATCGCTGTGTATAAAACAAAACCACAACAAAAGCTGAAATTTATGTGACAAGCTAAATGCAATGTGATAGCGCAATGCTGCTGAATCAGAACAACCTAGAATATATCGCTCAATAGTCACTAGTCACTAGTCACTACTGTACTGCTGAAGGTGGGTTCTGGGCACTGGACTAATGGAGTTGGGATTAAAAATAGGTAGAGACAGAAATCTCATCCAACTTCTATCAAATCAAAAACCAGACAATGAACAATATCACTATGAGTGTGAAGCTCAACTTGGAGACCAATACCACTTACACTGCAATGTTACATATTCTATAACTCTGCACAGTATGGTGACACACACATGATAGAAGCAAAAGAGACCTTCATCAGTGGTTTTGGTGTGCATGGCGAGGAAGACGAGAGGGATGAAGTCAGTCATGAGGGAGCCAGCTGTATCAGGTGAGTGGCGGGATATGGAGTGGAACACTAGAGCCACACTAGCCGTCACCAGGGGGTCTGGGGGGAGAGACAACACCTCTTTCTTAGTGGCAGTAGCTCACCATTCTTCTCAAAGTACCACTTGTTCATTTTGTCCAGAAGCTTCTTGATTGTCACAGTTTTTGAGACCTGCATGTTAGCAGTGGAATGTTTACTGCAGTCAATAATGGAATAGGCTAGATGACGGAGCAAACATAATATGGCAGAGCATAACATAATTACGAGCTATAAAATTTACTTTTACAAGATGGCCGATGGCTTGAGCACTGGACTTCCTCACTCCCACACTACGATCCAGCAATCCATTTGTCAGTGCTGTTAGCAGTTTACCTACACACATTAATACATACATATGTGTGCGTAGAATTCAGTGCCCCGAATTTACAGCAAACCTGCATGTGGGGTGAGGTCATTCCTGCAGCTACGAACCAAGGACACAACCAGCTGAGCAGTAGCAGCCTGTGAGGGAGAGTATAGGTACAGAATAACAATGATGAAGTGTTGGACAATAATGAATTACTAGTTATGCTCGGGTATTGCAGTAGCTAAATCTTAAACGAGCCTGGGGCACAAGACTTTCACATTTAGCGTCCACAAGTATCGGGTACATAGCTCTGTAAATGCAAATGTGTTCACAAACCTTAGTCCCCAGTCCAACTCCACTCTTGAAGATATCCACGAGTCTTGGAACTAGGCCTGTCAGCACCTCACCATCCACATTAGGTATACACTGGCATGACACAGTGATCATTATAATTATGGTCTGTAAATCAACACAAGTGCCCCTCACCAATTCAATGGTCTCCATCATAGGAGACTGTCGTGAGACCTTCACTCGGATGTTGTCCAGTTGCTCCAGGACCTCAGTCTCTCCAGTCAGCCTCAGGGACAGTGTGTTCAACTCCTGAGGCATGTTCGTGCATTGTGCATGTAAGGTAATGTTCCTTTCTGTACTACTGAGTACACTGAAAGCCTGGCCCAGGTTATGTATTACCCTACATGCAGCATGTACAGTGGCTTATTGCAGAGGATGACCACACACACTCACACACATACACTTATTACCCGTTGCTAGGTCGTTGCTAGGTCGTTGCTATGTTTATTTTAGCACAATAAATCAGCTACCCACCCAAGAGGGTGAGAAGGTGAGAATATCCACTGTGGTTATGGTAAATACTAAGGAATGGTGTGAATATCCACTGTGGTTAGGGTTGGGTATCAATGTTCTTATGTCGACGCTGACAGATCGAGGGAGGATTGAGGGAGCGAATGGCAGAGGCTTTCCGTTTGGAAGTCGAGGGTTGGGATTCTGAGACGTCGCTGCAAGACTCCGTGTCCGAGAATAGCGCTCCTGGGGACGGGCCATTGGCATCGAAAAGGCGTAGGCACAAACTTCTTGCTGAGAGCCTCGCTCTTTGCATCATCTAAAAATTCAAACCTCTCTGTAGCTGCGGAAGTAGTGCACGTAGCCCTCTTCCTTGTCAGCGAGAGCCTACGCCTTTTAGATGCAGCGACGTCTCAGAATCCCAACCCTCGACTTCCAAACGGAAAGCCTCTGCCATTCGCTCCCTCAATCGCTCCCTCGATCTGTCAGCGTCGATCGTGTTTGCCTAGCCTGGATGAGCGCCGTGCGGTAGAATGGCACGTTATGCATGCGCAGGTTCACGCGCATTGCCTTATTTGGGTGGATGCGCCATTTTCGCCGCGGTTTCACTAGCAACGACCAATCAGCGGTAATAAACATTTTATTACACCTTTTGTCGTGGTGTTGCGGTTCATCCGCCCTCCCCCCTCGGGCTTTATCCGCCCTCCCCCCTCGGGCGGATAAACCAGCAACACCACTCCAAAAGGTGTAATAACATATACATACACAACAGCAGTAAAGAAGGCAACTTCTCAGATGGACCAAACACGTCCTATGGTAAGCATGATGAAAACAAGAGTGCAACAGTTGGGGAGGTCACCTGGGGTTCCAGAGAGCTGAGTGACTCCAGGAGAGTTGGAACTAGAACTGGAATATGAGGCTTCAGCTGAGAGCCCTGCAGGAGGTGGGACAGATCAGAGAGGGTCAAAGACTGGATACATAGGACTCACCGCATTTTCAGACATTTTCAGGATTGCCAGTAAGCTGTGTATAAATGAAGTCCAATCATAAATTCTCACATTAGGATTGGTAATTGGCGAGCAGAGCAAGCCCTCCTAGTCGTCTCCATGCGAAAATTTTAAATGAAAAACAGTGAAGTGCAAACCCTCGGCGAACTGCGCATGCACGACACTAATTGATGGGCTGGGCTATTAGTAGTATGCGTTTACTTGTGGTCTCCCGCTAGTAGCACGCGGAGAGTCTGACACGGGCTAGCTACAGTAGTAGATACGCAGCATGCGGGAGTCGAAACATGCCGTTCGTTGTGACTTCCTGGGCCACAAAGGTACACAGACCGAGAGGAACAGGTCACAGTAAGCCCAATGCGATTAGGCATATTGGCTTTTTCCCTTGTTTTCACGGCATATCTATCGAACGCAGTCGTTTCAGGAAAATCGTCCTTTTACTTTTCAAGCTCGTGTGTAGTTCTAAAGCCGCTATTATCCCTAATAGGCTGTCTCGTAGCCTGTAGTGTCAGAATAAGCGTCGATACACACGCAGACCAAAACAACTACTGTAATCTCGCTGCGCATGCGTGCCGAGGGTTAAATATAGTGTACGGGCACTGCCACATACCGTAATGTATTATACTAAATATGCGAAACGCGCGAAAAATCGTTTCTCCCGCCAATTCCTCTAGTAATACACACCTAATCTTTCTGATATCAGATGAAGGGTTCTGCATGCCTTTGTTCAGCATGAGTGGTAGGACCTCACCTATCACTTTAGCTCCTGTACACAGACTAGTCAAGTCACATGACATCATCATTACACTATGACAATGTCATTGGCTAACCAAGAGTAGGACTCTCACAGGCTCTGACTGTGACTTTGTGGAGGGCTTTGCAAGCAACATCTGCTGCTTTCCTGACAGTCTCCTGGATAGAGTGTGGGAAACATGCAATGCACGGGATAGTGTAAAGCCTGGTTCACAACACTGATCCCAGCAACGTAATTGTGGACCTCACCGGGGCCTATGTTATGACGTGATGCATAGTACACCTGGATTTGTTTCAGAAAATATAATGCTACTTTGCATCATGTTGCAACACAGACTCCTGCGATTAGTAAAAGGCCGAAGACTGCTGATAAAGTAGATATATTACATCATAGAACTTCAATCATAGTTCGAAGAAAACGGAGAATATAACAAGTTGTAACTGTCCTTTAGAGCACTTTCTTTTAACAGGGTAAAGGTTTTTGCTGGGTGTTAGCCTGAAGTTACGTATGTATGAGAGAGAGTGTTTTCTGAAGGAGTACTGGTAATCCATTACACAATAATAAGCTATGAAGTGCTGTCAACCATGCTACGTTTGCATAGAATGTAGGGCCACACAACCTTTGCAGTGCTTGAGATCCAGAAGACCTGATCAAAATACTAACATTTTTGTGAGTGTATAATGCAAAACAGCAAGAATCTGGAGTGTGTGGTTTTCAGGTGAGATGCACATAGATTAGTTTTCAGAGCACAGTGCAAGTATGACAACATGTGAGTGACCTTGACGTCGTCCCTGGCTCTAAGAGAGAGCTCCCAGAGAGAGGGTAGGTGGCTGGCAACATCCTTCACCTCCTGTCCGATCAGAACATCTCCTAGAGCCATGCAACTGGGGGGAACACACAGCCGATGCTAATTAATGGCTCAAGAAATTAAAGGGAATGTGAAACTATAAAAAGGGCTAAATTTTAAAAAGTAAGTAATTAATTTCACAACTCCATATTATACGTAGTCCATATTTCAACTCTTACACATTATTGCAACATTACCCCGAGGTGTAAGTTAGGTAGACCATGGTTCATAATCTTCAAAACAAGAAACACAGATGCTGATATTCTACTGCTATGCTGCAGATGAATCCATGTCAGAGAGAGGTTTGTAGGTGTAGCCATATTTCAACCGCAGGCTGCACTGGCTTGATTTTAAATTTGGTGATTATACTAAAAGCACTAGGTTCAAAAAGTAAGAACCAAGTGAAAAAGTAAATTACCAGTTGCTTACGTCAACTGCTTTCCGCCTGTTTTACCCCACAGAGACATCAGAAAGTACAACGGCAGGTGTATGTCGGAGTGTTGCGGTGCCTTAAGTGCTACCTACTAGATGCTAGCCCATGTGAAACTCTCAGCAGACCATGATAGTGTAGCCAAGCCAATCAATTAGCGGTTCCGACCTGCGAATGTGTGTGGGTGCAATGCTTATACATGTGTGCTTATAGCCGAGGGTCTGCACTTGTAATTGCTCGTGTAGGCAGCCTTGTTTCATCCAACTAACGTACCTGGCCTGTCTGTTCCTCCAGAGATGACTGTTGAGGTTTTGAGACAAGTCATCTATAATGGCTGGCAGGTACTTGTCAACCTGCAGTGCCACAGTAATAGAGAGAAAACTATAACATCTAATGTTCAAATGAAAGGCACTGAAGTGAAAACCCTCGGCGCATTGTGACGCGCACACGTAAGTAAACGCATGCGCTGTACCACTAATTGATGGGCTGGGTTTAGTTTTAGCTGTTACTCGTGGTCTCTTGCCAGCTCGCGCAGAGTCTGACGCGGGCTAACTACACTACTAGATAGCATACGAGAGGCGATACACGCCCTGCGTTGCATTTTCTGGTGCCTCTGAGGTACGCAGAGCATGCAGATCGATCAGACCGCGGTAAGCTATCCCGTCCGTTGCGTATTTGCATATTGGCTTTTTCGTGCTCTAGCTTTGCAACGGAGCAAAATCGTTCAAAAAATTCTGACTTTCATTGCCCGTTAAGTAGGTCGTATCCTTTGTGAGACGAACAAACATTCGAGAAATAAGATTGAGAGTGACAGACACACAGACAGACAAACCCAACTACAGTAACCCTTGCTGCGCATGCGTGCCGAGGGTTAATAAAGGTGAACTGGTAACTCACGGCCTTCTTGCTCTCAGGCACGACGGCAGCCCAGATACTGGACATGGCCAGCTGGACTCTGGGGTTGGGGTCGTACTTATAGCGGTAGAGTCTTGGGACCAGAAGGGGTAGGTGGGAGGACAGCTCCTCTCGTGCCGTCGCTGCTATCACTGAGAAACCAAATGCTGCACCCTGAACAGTAGACAGGAGAAAATAATCACATAAAGTGCATGGATGGGTTAATTAATTGGCAAGCGAAGCGACCTATTTGCACATATACCTTAATGTTGTACATTACATGCAAAACATTAAATTGCTCACGCTCACTCGCCAAAAGTGTGTGGCATTCATTCTAGTTATACATTGCTGAGTTGTAGATATATGTAGGTAGAATAGGTTAACTACTCTACCAATATCAGACCGTATAAAAAAAACGGACCTTAAGCTTCAGTTAAAATCATGCACAAATCAGTTTATGTGCAATGAGAATAAAACATAGATAAGGGAAAGTTTGCATGTTAAAACCTTCTTAGAGTTCCAGAGGGCATTATGGTTGGCGAGGTTCATAAATTTGTAGATGAGGTCTGGTTTATTGAGGTCACTGGCTAGAGAACACAGCTCTTTGTATGTTGAGAGTCCTTTCCTGAGGAGTGAGGAGGGGAGGGAAGGTTAGAGGGAGAATGAAGGAGAGAATGAAGAAGGATGGAGAGTTAGGAGGAAGAGTGGGGTTGGAAAGGGAGACAGACAATACAGTTGGAAGAAGGAAAGGAAGAGAGGAGGAGGAAGGAGAGAGGAAGAGGGGAGAAACTGACACAGAGAGGGAAAATGATATGAATGAGAGAATTTTTGTAAAAGAGAGAGTGAGGGAAAGAGAGAGAAAGATTGGAGTAACCCTTCAGGGGCCTTTCCCAGCTCTCCCTGTTTAAACACCTCTGTATCATCTGTCACCTTCTGTTCAATGCTGTATACAATGAAAACACAGATAGGCATTATATAAAACATTTACCACCATATACTCAGGGAATAATTTATCCGGGTTCGCATCGCAGTTCGCGACACAAAATACCTACTTCTGCGACGCAAATCTAAGTCCTAGCGCAAAATGTTGCGATGCATTTTCTTTCGTGGTGAAAAGCACACACGAGAGCTACATAGCTGTGCCAGGGAGAGTCTGCCTACCGAGACTACCAGTGAGCGTAGCACTGTCCTCGCGCGCGGGAGTGCTGCGCTCACGCGGCCGGGGTGTGTTACTGGTGGGCATCAATTAGACTAGCGCACGTGTTTTCAACGTCTGCTCTAGGAGCGATTAGCGCCGAAGCTGTGTGCGAGATAAGACGTTGGCTATGTCTGGTGTGCGCTGAAAAATTGGGTTGATGCATTTCACATATTGTTGACTATTCAATTGCCACCTACACAACAGTGCTAATCAATATGAACAACTGCTATAAAAGTAAATGATTGTGCAGCAGTTGCTGCTATGCAATTTTTAATTATACCCTGATACTACTGCCGCACCAGAACGTTATTTACACGGTGTGGCTGAATAACCGCTATGGCGAAGAAGTATGATGACATGGCTCAACATACACTAGAATATGGTAATACAAAACCTCTAGCGCAGTTTGAGGATCGTAAAAAGAGCAAGGTATGAGAAGAGTGGATATTTGTGTTACTTCATTAGTTAACTTAATAAGCATCCCAACAATCACTCAAGTCTGTACAAAAGGTAAGTAATTTCTTATGTCTTACTTGGCACAAATACAGAGAGCATCGCGTTTTGCAAAAGAAAGGCTGTAATAACATTGTGGAAAGCAGCAATGACAAGAGCACCCAAACACTGCTCTTGTTTGTTAAACACAGCAACCATATCTCCCTACGCATAGTGCTGAGGTGCCTGCAGGATGTCCACAGATGCACCTACTGAAAAAAGTACATACTGTGCACAAGGCAGCATAGTTAGCTTGCGGAAGGCTACTTCACAAAGCAAGAAAATGTTTCATGGATGAGATATGGACAGATGAATGTTGCATACAGATGGAGAGGCATTGCAGGTATAAAGCAAATGAGCAGCATACAGCCCAGGAAGGGGAGCGAGCAACGTCAATCTGAATCTTAGAGAGCATTATAGATGTGGATCTGCAGTTTACCCTCAGCATGGATGCACACAAGGATTACAAAACTTGGTCTTTCAGTTCTCACATTTTCTGCCACAGCGGCAATAGAAACAAATCCGCTACAAGGCATAAACAAAATTTGGTAGCAGAATTCTGTGCAAAATAGGCCCAAAAGAAATACGCAATTTTGCGAGCTGTCACTAAGAAAAATAGGCCGAATAATAAACTTATACTCTGAACACTTAATAGTGAATTTTCTGCTCTTCCAGAGTGCAGCTAATACAGTACCGCACTATAATAAGTACGTACTGTACTGTCCACGGGTGCACCAGGAGTACAAACCAGGAGCACACCAGGAGTATACATAGAGAGAAGCTGGGTTGTAACTCGAAAGAGGACTATGCAGAACACTCTCAGTTACGTATGTTACAATGCAACAGTCATTAAAAAGTGGACAAGGATTTCACTGTGATAAGTCAGTTCATGTGACTGTTTAGTATTGCGTCATTGTGTTTTCCCCACCATTTGATGCTCTGTGTGTTTCACATTCTCTGATGTGCTGTCGGAAACTTTATAACATATATAGTAATGCTGAAACTAAAGTAAGAAGGAAATGGGTACGACGAAAAGCAAAATGGGCAAACTGAAAAGCAAGTTCGGTAAAAACATTGAGCACAAAGAAAAGCAGGAAAGTAATAATTAAAATTGAAAAATTTTGCTGAATAGTTTATCCATGCTATTACACAAAATTTTACTAGGATATAATGCAGTGCAGTACATTTTTAGGGGATTGAATCGACAAAAGAATATTTAAGTTGCAAGCTTAAGGGACCACAATGACGTTCGAAAGTTTTAGGCTATAGTGTGGAGCAAGTGAAAAACTGCACTAATTCACTCCTGTTATAGTTTAAGATCATTTCATCCCCTGGAGTCTTCTTATTTGTAATGTAGCGTCACTAAATCCCTCTGTAATATCACCTTCAATTACTACAACTCTCATATTTGTGCGTATACTGATAAGAGAGCAGGTTTTCGCCATATCTCTCCGCTTTCCTTGTACTTCTCAAAAGAGATGCCAGCTTTGCTTGCAGTAACAAGGCTTACCTCGACCGCGTCCGCTCGCTATGTGTATCTTGAAGGCACAAGAAGTCACAACGGGAAGTTTGAACAACCTGCCGGACAAAGATATCACTTTGCATGGGCAACCTACGTACCTCTGCGAGACATTGTCCATTGATAGCTTGACCTAAATGATGTGGGAATCATTGCTTGCCCTTCACTCCCAGTGCACAGGATGCAAGGAATGTGAAATTAGTTAAGAAACTTAATGTTATGACTGTTCAAAGTGTAGATGCAAAAAAATCGGTCATAGTGGAGACTGTGTACTACGTACCTGCATTCTTTTGTCACATTCCTGAATTTTCGGTTAGCACATAGGACTAGTGCTATAGTCTAGGATGCTTGCTGCCCAGATGGATCATTGTCGGAGCCAGACCTCGTCTAGGGCCTAGGACTAGGGCATCAGCAGACTCAACAAATCGATGCCCTAGTCCTAGCCCTAGACGAGGTCCGGCTGCGATCATGATCCATGCAGGTGGCAAGCATCCTAGACGAGGTCCAGCTCCGATCATGATCCGTCTGGGCGGCAAGCAAAGTAAGGTGCGAATAGCACGGGCCTATAGAATGCAGGTAGTAAACAGACTCCACTATGACTGAAGTTACAACAGTGACAGAGCTTCAGAGATCTGTGTCACACATGTGGAAAGACTCCTTGTTGTTCACATGCAGAAAATACCATGTGATGCCATGTATGTATATACGTATGTATTTCTACAGAACGTGTGACATGGAAAATGCCCTTCCCATAACTTTCTATACACTGAATCTTGTTATATGGCCATATTTAAGTAAACAACTCTCAAATCAAAACAATCACGTTATCACTGAAGAACATGGGGGCAGTGCTTTCATGGAAAGAGTAACACGAACAGTTAAATAGCCTGCTACAAGTTGGAGCAATGACAGAAAGACTCAACCACTATGTGCGTGTATTGTAGCTCAAAACTCGATGGTTTCGGTAAAACTATTTTATGACCAAGGTGAAACATTGGAGCTCAGTCAATTCACTGCTGCCTTTTAGTTAAGGGCGCTGCCTCTGCGTGTATTGGGTAACACATTAATGCACACATGCACCATACACATGTCTTTGTGCATAGCGATGGCATGGAAGCAGCTACTAAAGTGCGATGCCGTTTTGTCCAACGTGTGCTGCGCATTTGAACGATACACGTAACTCATTTTCGAGCTTGTAGCTTTTCTATAGCAGGTCACAAATGGGCAAACAGTGTGAATGCCACTGAACAGATTTTTTGCCATCTACTGTAAGGGAGGAACGGTGGGGGAAGAGAGAGAGAGAACACATACCGTCTTCCCTCCATGAGTGTTCCTACTAATGACTGTACCATCTCCTGCTTCACCGACCCATCACAGAGGTCATAGGTCAAACCCAGCCCCCTGGAAGCCACCTCCTGGGTGATCTCTGAAGGAGTGAGGAGACACACAGACTGCAGGAAGTAGTTACGGGAGATCTTACCATTAGTTTCTGCAAGGAAGTTCACGAAGGTAGCCTGCAGCCTCTTCAGATTGTTCTGGGAAAACAGTTGAAGTATTGCCACATGAATTCATTATGCAAATACACAACAATTTAATTAGTTACGTAGGAATAGTACTTCACTGTGAATGTTCATACAACTGCTAAAACTTGGGGCAGTAAGGTCCCATTCTATAACACACACTATTTCTTTAATCCTCTTTAAAAAAAGGTGGTGGACAATGCCCTGTGTCCTTGAAAAAAGTGTCAAAGTTAGTGTTAATGATGCTGCATTCTTAAAGCCTGCTGATGCAGGAAGCTGTGCAGCTAATGCCCATACAAGGAGTGAGGGTTACAGTTCTTGGTCTATTTGTCTGCCTGTCACCCTCTCTTCTGGCACTACAGGCTAGGGCACGGCAAAAATACCAACAGTAGTAGTGCTGTGTAAGCATTAAAATTAAAGTCACGATTTATCTGCGTTGGAGAGTTGTGGGGTATAACATGAGCGAAAAAGTCTTCAAGCCAATCAGCAATGGTGATTGTCCGTCAACGCGCAGTGGAAGGCACAAAGCTATGTGGAGGATGATTATCCAGTCCATATCCAGCGTTGATCTAAACGCTACTCACTGATGCTGCTAGCCCATGTTAGAGCGAGAAACTGACATCGACCGCATGGCGTGACCAATTAGAGGTACGCTTTGTGCATGCGTAATGCGTATCTTCACTACAGCTGGCGCACCAAGGGTTTGCACTTTAGTGTTCACGTTTTGTGTTGTGTGTACATATGTTGAGAGATAGAGGGGAAGATTGTGGTTATTGGGCATTCTCTTTCTTAACAAGTGTGCCATCATGTATGTACCTTCATACTGGGGTGGCGAGATGCATGTTTCACCAGACAGAGTAGCCAGGTACAGGCAGACTGACGGACTGAGGCCAGTGGGTGAGAAGCATGGTCACTCAGAATGGCATCCAGTGTCTTTGACAGCTGCTCTGAAGGCACGTCTGAGGACTCTGAGCTGAGAGAAGGATGAAGTTTAGGTGCACATGACCTCTTGTAATACGCGTGTCAACAACGAGGTCTCGAGGCAAAGGCAACCCGAACAAATAAGCTACACCAAGGACAATTCTTTTCTCAAAGGAAAAAAAAGGCTGCCCTATGTATAGGTGGGATTCTAACCAATGAGGACTCTGCACTATACCAAACAGGCTGAGCCACCCCAGGGCAACACAACAGGTAGGGGTTGAAACATCCCAACACAATCCAATACACAATAAAAACCCAAAACAACTGTAGCATTCCTATTCCATGCACTTTTAAGTTAAAAAATTCCCTACCCGTTGAAGAAGTTTGTCCATTAATTTAACATGTGCAATAGATTGCTATAGGTGTACAACCAACTAACTGACCAAAGTCGGTGTCTCAGGTCCCAGGGGCTGTGAAGAGCAGTGGAAAGTGGGCCTGCTGCCACACACGAGAGAGCCTCTCCCACGGTGAACTGGAGCTCCACTGCCTTCTCCTCCCTCACGGAGAACAGAGCCTGGAGGAGGGCGGGGCTGTGGGCGGAGTCAAACAACCCCATCCTCCCAAGAGCCACTGCACACAGCTCTCTGGTCTGGAGCAGAAATACGTACACATACAAATGCAAAGAACATTTGACAAGAGTCACAAGCAGCACTATACTCCATTTTGCCTATTAAAAATTGTGCAGTATGTGCAGCAGTGGAAGTATCGGCCTATTTTCTGAATCAGAAAAATAAAAATCCAATCTGCACATCAAATGGCTGTACGACATACATCAAAGCCCTGGATCAGCTATCAGAACTATTCATTCGGAACTGAACTCTACATTATACAAAGCTGCAATCAAGGAGATCCTGAGAGTAAGAAAGAAAATACTCGCAGAGTACTAAGGACTAAGTACAAAGGAAATCCAGTACCTCGGAACACAGTAGAAAAAGTTGGACTTCCGCCCATCTTAGAATCTGCTGCTACTACACATCCTATACCTATATGAGGTATGAGCCAGATATCTCAGATAGAGAGTCCTTGCTTTTCACAAGGGTTGATAAACAACCTCACAGTTATGTTGCTACACCATAGTCGAAATCCTCATGTACTGGAGAAGCTGCTGACACAGCCAAAGAATTGATTACTTAGCCTCATTTGGCAATCAGCTGGTGTGGATATCTAGTCATGTAGGTCAAAGGTCACGCTGTAAAAATACTCCCTTTCTGGCTTTGACCTGTACACCCCGCCTAAAGCGTTTCAAGTCAGGAAACAGACAACTTTTGCAGGTTTGATGATGCCCATTCCTTTGTTCAAAGTAAGCAAAATAATTTATTGACGCAGCGGAAATAGAAAAAAAACACTGTGACTAAGTTTTTTGAGCCTCTCTCCAAGTAAGACCCACAATTTGAGAATATGTCAAGAAGAGAGGATATACCTGTTCTCAAATGGAGCTCAAAATGTATTAGTTTCTATTTCCTCGACCTAAACACGAATGTCCAAATATCAACAACAAGTGATCGATCCAACAAAAGGTGCAAATTGTGGCTGAAGAACACACTGGCTACTTGCTGACCATGCAAGAAAAAGCCGACGGCTAGGAGGGACACTGGCTCTATCAAATGTTGTGTTTACGGATTGTTGCCTGGGCCCAAACACAACATGGGATATTGGATTTTTGGCAAGGACGATGCCCAAACGAGGGATTTGTGTCGCAAATGTGCCCATGAAAACCAGGAAAGAAACAAAGATAAACCCTCATCAAAGACAGATACATGTTGACTAGGTGTACTACACAGGTACATCGGTGCAGTAGAGTTTAGTTAGTTGCACACTCCGAGAGTTAGTTTCGGGGTGTAGCACTGGTGGGAGAGGAGGCATCGTACTCCATTTGTACGTCTACTACTGACCGACTATGACTGAGCTAGCCGGCCACACGGCACATACGTAGATAGCTACATGTATGCATAGTTATATGAGTGATGACAACACACTGACTGCTGCGCTAACCCGCGCATGCGCATGTAAATGTGCAAGTCCGAGGCTACGTAGCTCTGTGTCAACGGTTTGACACACTAGTGCCACTGACGGTTTGCTGCATAGCTAGCCTGCACGGATGCACCCCGGGTTATTAAAATGTCTGTGTGGATGAGGGGATGTGGGTGTCTGCGTGCAGCTGTCCATCCACCGGTAACCACTGTAAGTTTACTAGCACCTCTCAAGTGGGGGGAGAACGAAAATAATTTGTCACTCGCACTCGGAAATGTGTCTTTAAAACATGGATATCACTGAAATTCACATGTGACAGAAAGACTTAAATCTCATGCCTCAAGCTCTGAACAAGCCTTTTGTCGTCATTTTGCATGTAAGAGAGGTAGAAAAAGATGGTGGCATGTGATTGCAATATCTTTGCTTGGACATTACCGTATGTGAAATCATATTTAAAAAAACTGTTGCTAACAAAGGAACTTCCGTGGTGAGCAGCTAGTACAGTTCAAAGAAGCAAGCTGAAAATAAATGCTTTCCTGGAAAAAACATTATCCAACAACGAGGAGAAAAACAATTATCTCTGCCTATTTTTTTATTGACAGATGAGGGAGTCTAGTGAAGACGACTTTCACACCCAGTTACACTCCCCCTTTGAAATCTGAAGTAGTATGGGCAGACTCTGGTTAAATGATTTCCTCAATGTTCTGCAGGGCCTGCCACCACGTATTGAACAAGGTTCAGAAAGGTCAAATGCTTCTCATTCAAACCATCACAAACGACTTTCGAACACTGACACGAGCACTGAAGGAACCATTTGAGAAGTTAAACCGACCTACACGGTATTCACAACAACTGACATCCACGCAACAACCTGGAATCAATCAACCTGGATCTGCCCACCAACCTGATTTTGCTTTAATCAAAGTATGAACACCTTGAATTAATGTATCCTGTATGATACACTTCGTATAGATATACGAAGATACTAGACTGTAGCTCGCACATACTAGACAGAGTTACGTCTATTTTTTTCCACAGTACTCACAGTAGTAATATCAAAAGTGTACACAAAGACATGGATCCATAGTAGAGGTGCTTGATAATTCCTAACCATGTGTGTCGCCATTGTGAGAAAAGGGGTGGACTTTTGAGGCATGCACATAGGAGTAATAATGCTAAAATATGACATTATGTAAGGTCAGGTTTTTTTACATATATGCAACTTGCACCATGTCGACAAGTGTCACATGTGCAACAAGCAAGAGATGATGGAGTGCCTCAAACTTTAGAGTTGACGATGTTCTTGAGCCATTGGAGGAGCAAACAACGGACAAGGAAGGGGAGGACTCTGATGAAGAAATCAGAGATAGTTCATATGGAAATACTGGCTTCTTTGATGGCAAAATGTCTATGCTAGACTTGAATCTCGCGCAAGGGGCTTTTAGCTATTTAAATTCTCTAAAATTAGAAGGGTTAACTTGAATGCTGTTTTTTCCCGACAACTTCATTTCCAACCTGAACCAGTCTATTCTCAATCCAGACCACGAGCATCTCAACCTGGACCTACACCCAAGAAGTTGCTTCAATTACCCCCTCCTTACTAGCCACAAAAGACTGTGGAAGAAATCCTCCTGAGATATGGTGGAGAGGACGTGTAGTGGTGATGTACCCATTCTTTGAGGTGGATGTCATGACAACAACTGCCGGAGACAATGAAAAGCACTGAAGTGCAAACCCTCGGCGCACTGTGCTGTGACGCGCACGCGTAAGTAAACGCATGCGCCGTACCACTAATTGATGAGCTGGGTTTAGTTTTAGCTGTTACTCGTGGTCTCTTGCCAGCTCGCGCAGAGTTTAACGCGGGCTAACTAGTATGCGAGAGGCGATACACGCCCTGCGTTGCATCTTCTGGTGCCTCCGAAGTACGCAGAGCATGCGGATCGATCCGACTATGGTAAGCCATCCCGTCCGTTGTGTATTTGCATATTGGCTTTTTAACGCTCTAGCTTTGCAACGGAGCAGTTTCAGAGAAAACCGTTCGAAAGTTCTGACCTTCATTGCCTGTTAAGTAGGTCGTATCCTTTGTGAGACGAACAAACACCCGAGAAGTGAGATTGAGAGTAACAGACACACACACACAGACAGACCCAACTACTGTAACCCTCGCTGCGCATGCACGCCGAGGGTTAATAAAGATACAGGAAATAAAGACATCACCATTGTAAAGTATGAAATCGGAAGCTAAGACAAAGCTGCAAGTTGGGAGATATGTAAGGACCTTAGGTACAAGAAGTTTCTATGCCGAGACTTTATTTCTCTTCACAACGACAAGTTCCAGGACAGGACATTAAAGACGACAAGTGTAGGAACATTGGTGGATGCTGACCGAAGGATGAAGTTTTGATATTGGATTACAGAAATACAGATAATGGTGGCACATTACATGCACGGAATATTGCACTCTAGTTGTAAAGAAGAGGCTGAACGTCCTAAAAACTGGTGTGGGATATATTGAAGATGAACTCCAAAAACTACAGACTGCATATTAAAAACGTTATATTGGATACGATACTGATGGTGTAAAAGGAATGAAGGGGAGTTTGCGTGAATAAATCTGGGCAACGCTATGGCCTGACCAAGATAGTGAAAGTTTATCCAGCCTGAGGTAGATGGATACACAGTTTCGGTAATATTCTTCTGCAAAATATTGTGTTCTTTTGTATCTGTGACTTAATTATGACGGTAATAAAGAACATTCCTTGCATCTCTTTTAGGTATGGTGATTGGGGGGTTTGAGAATTCAAGCGATTTTAACTGACCCAGGTATAGCTTAGGATAATAATGAGCTATATATAGGGAGAGTAGAGATGTTCAGCATTTGCTACTAAAGTCCCGATGATATAAGGGTGCCAACCTTGAAGGAAGCAGTTCCTTTAGTTTGTATTGCACCCACTCATGGCCTGAGCAGTGGATGTAGGTATTGCTGGAAGAAGTTAAGAGACCGAGCGGCCAATTACCAAAATTCTCCAGTAGTACATGTTAATCAATGTGGTTTATACAAATGTGCACTTTGAGGCACGTTGTCTCTCTTCATCGATCTTCAGTGTTGCAGTGGAGCTAGGTGTAAAAAGGTGTTTCCTTCCCTGGTATAGAGGCAGTATATAGTTCACCCAGAGCAGCACAGGCTGTCGCGTGCCTTCCCAAACACGTGACCCCTAGCAGCTAGGCTAAAAGTGATCCTGTAGGCTAAAGTTTGTTGTTGTTAGTAAAACACAGTGGCCTGTCTCTGACCAGACCAGTTGTCTTATTTGTTCCCTAGACCGATCACATGAGAAATAATCCAAGGTGGTCTGGTCCTACGACAGGCCAATCAGCTCGTAGATTTCTTACTTCGATCACTTACTCAGATGTCCAAAGTTGTCCGTACAGTGATGGACAAGCAAGTATAAAAAGGGTCTGCAGTGTGCACAGACTCACACTGCGAGGACAAAGACGTTAAAGAGGTCGTTGGAGGAAAATTTAGTGATTTGCATGTCACCAAACATGCTAGAATCCACCCACAGTGTAATGATGGTGATTTCACCAATGAAGCAAAGAAAGAAGGGAAAATGTCAATGGTAAATTACGTGATGGGAAGAGCAGCAGTCGGTTTGTGTGCTTTAATGCAAATATGCACAAAAAGTGTGCGAAAAGAGCAACTGAAGTATTGGACAGGACTGGTAGTTGTTGTTAGAAATACGTACCTTAAAGGTTCACTCATCATCAGAAAGAAATGAAAAGCACTAAAGTGCAAACCCTCGGCGAACTGCGCATGCGCGATACGTCTAATTAATGGGCTGGGCCTATTAGTCTGCGTTTACCCGTAATCTCCGGAAGTAGCTGGCGGAGAGTCTGATACTGGCTAGCTACAGTAGTAGATAGCATGCGGGAGTCGATACATGCCCTTCGTTGAGACTTCTTGTGCCTCCGAGGTACACAGAGCAAGCGGGATCAGGTCGAGGTAAGCTAGTGCTAATTAACATATTGGCTTGTTCACTTGGTTTCATGCCATAACTTCTGAACACGGAACTTTTACGAAAATCCGCCATTTTTAAAATCAAGCCAGTGTAGCGCTGAACCCGTTGGTGTCGCTATTTCACCTGTTGCGTGTGCGAAAAACGTGTGAGGCAGACAGACGAGAACAGACGACAGACAGACAGACAGACAGACGGACAGACGGACAAACAAACAGTACTGTAACCCTCGCTGTGCATGCACGCCAGAGGGTAATGAATATACCAGATACTACTATGTGTGCTGTGACGATGGACATTTGTAAATATTAAAGGAAGTATCTCGATACCACTGGTTGTTGCAGTTAGGGTGAAAGTTGTTGGCGACGAAGATTCCACAGAAGGTTTGTTAAACAAGATTAATTGGATGTTGCAAGATAGGAAGGTAACTCCAGACACGAGGGCAACACCAGACGCTGAAAACAATATTATTATTAACTGTGCTGCATTTCAAGAAGTCATACAAGTGATAGGAAGCAAGGCCAGTAGCAAGCCAAGCACTTGGTATAAGAAATATCCTTTGGTTGGACAAATAGCAGCCAAAAGCAGTTGTCAGTAGAGTTGCAGTGGTGTCAGTATACAAGTAAACCTTTGCGACTGCGAAGGTTTTACGTGTTGCCCCTGCCCCACTTCAAGATTCCGCCACTTCAATACAATGAATCAGTGGCCAGTGATTCACCAGAGTTGATAAAAGATATTGTTAGCAAGTGTTGGGACTGTTGCTGTAAATCCCACACAAAATCTGTGCTACCAAATGGTACAAGTTGAGAATGCTTTAAAAGAGCTTATTGTATTTTGCCTGGGCGAATCAAAGGCGCCGCCAGTACTATATTCATCATACAGAACGGTTTTTGAATGATATCGCGCGGAACTGTACTGCATCACACAAACTGTACTATATCCGCGGACTAGCGTACGCTTTGTGGGAATGATGCCTCGGCGGCCTTTCGTAGACAGAGGTCGACTCAGACGGTGACACAAACAGCTGCTGGAAGGGCGCTCCGCGAGCTTCTAGTCCTTCTGAACTTGCAGATTTTCCTGTCCCCGCCGCCTTTTTAACTATATCCGCAGACTAGCGTACACTTGCGGGAATGACGCCCTTGGCGGCCTTTCGTAGACGGAGTTCGACTCAGACGGTGGCACAAACCGCTGCTGGAAAGGCGCTCCGCGAGCTTCTCGTCCTCTCTTCCCGTTCTGAACGCTGGTTTTCCTGGTCGCCGCCTTTTGAATCGCCCACGCATACGATAAATAACTTAATGTACGGAAGCACGTGCTGTGCGCGTGATAATGGTACTCGGAACGTGGTCTCGATAGATCATACAGCAACTCGGCTGCGCCTCGTGCTGTATGACTATCTCGACCATGCCCCTCGTACCATTATTACACGCACAGCACTGACTTCCATACATTAACTATTACAAACAGAACATCTTAAAGGGAGACATGTCATGTACATGTAGTATCGTATTGCCCCACCTTCAAGATTCCACCACCTTAATACAATGAATCAGTGGCCAGTGATTCACCAGAGTTGATAAAAGATTGTTAGCAAGTGGCCCCATGTAGTAAGTGTTGGGACTGTTGCTGTAAATCCACACAAAATCTGTGCTACCGAATGGTACAAGTTGAGAATGCTTTAAAAGATACCCAAAAGGAAACAGAACATCTTAAAGGGAGATATGTCATGTACATGTACGTACTATCGTAATGTATTATCTGATGGAATGGCATGGCAAGTATTGTGATGTAATGTTTCTCAACCATATGTTATGTACCCAGAGTTGTACTGTAACACCTAAACACAGTGAGAAATAATCACAGACTCACCCTTATCTCTTTGGTGCTGTTGAGCAACTTTTTAAGACGAGCGATCAATGTAACAACTGTGATCCCCCCACCGTCATTCTCTCCCTTCTCCCCCTCAGCTGATACCTGGGTGCAGAGGCAGTGGTCCACCGAGACAGGCATGACCCAGAGCAGCACATGCCGGCGACACAAGGTGGGCGTGGCCTGGTCCTCCTTCGAGAAGACTAACTATAGGAAGCAGAGTGTAAGATAAGAGCGTTGTAGAAGTAAATAAAAAATTGTTCGAATTAACGAATATAGGGATGCCATAAAAAGCAAGGAGACAAGACAGGGATGACCTAGTGCTTGTGATGCAGTAGTACAATGGGATGACGATTACATCTTCAAACTGACATTTCTTGCTCATGTACAATTTCCTCCACACAAGCCATATTTTCTCGCGAAGCATGCGTAAGCTCTTCATAGAATTACTCATTTCCTAAGCACGTAATGCACAGGTGTTGTCCTGTCTGACAGCTCCTCAGTTTTTGGTTGTGACTGCATTGTGTGAAGTCTAAGACTTCCATGTTCGCTCAACTAACAATGAGTTTACAATGCTGCGTTCTTGGGCCTGTAGAGAATCCCTTTACCATTGTCCTCACATTAAACAAATTAATGTTGCGAGTAAAAGTGGCGATAATATAGGGCTTGTGTGGAAATTTATAGAAGCAAGCTTTGAAGACATAACCATCATCAAATTACGCATCACATACACTAGGTCATCCCTGTCTTTATCTCCTTGCTTTTTATGGCATCCCTATATTCAACACTTTTGAACATTTTTTATGGCATGCACATGCATTGGGGCATAGTGGCTATATAAAAGTAGCATGTGTATATTGTCTCAGACTCTTTGTCGTCATTTACTTCAGCACCAAAGTGCAAACCCTCGGCGCACTAGAAACATGTGCGGCACCACTAATTGGGTTATTTTTACTAGTGTACACTCGTGGTCTCTTTCCAGCTCGCGGAGAGTCTGGACAGGCTAGCTACACTCGTAGATAGCATGCAAGGGTTTATACACATGTCCCTTGAACTGAGTCGTTTTCTTTTTTCAGGCTCACGTATTTCTGATCAATCAGATGGTACCGGTTTCATTATGAGAGGGAGTAGATACACGCCTTGTGTTGCAACTTCTGGTGCCTACAAGGTACACTTAGAAAGTGGAACTGTTGGGCGTGGCAATATTCCACGCATGCGTAATTCCGCGTACCCGGAGAAATGTTTGCAATACTACGCGGCGTGCAAAGTGTTAAGCTAACAGGTTCTCATAACTACAAGAGTGTGCAACAAGACAAGTCCGTCAATGTCTTTGGGAAGTTGCTGTTGTTGCTTTTTTCTTCACTCTTGCAGTTACGTAACAGCAGTTGCCTAACCTATGTATACAGCGCAGTTATCAGAGCGTAAATAGATGCTCTATGTAGGGATGAGATCCCATGTGATCAGCAAATAAAAAGCCTCAAATCTTGGAAAGAATGACTACCTTCCACACCAGCAGTAACCCACGGCCCATATATCTAGTGTTACATTCACCGAAGATGTTTTACGTGCCATCAGTTCTCCTTGCAAGAATTAGCTCAAACACGAATACACATTTTCCTATTATCTCGATCTTCTTCAAAACTTGCTATAGCTCCTTACTGCAACAAGTTTGACGGAGGTATGCACTGACACCATGTGATGGTTTCTTGTTGCATGCCACTGCGGTACAGGTCGTAGAGCTCTTCCACACTTACGAATTATGTGATTTAAGTTATTTTTGGGTACCTGCTTTTTCACCACATGGATCAGACTGATATGTCAGAAGTGGGGTCTGATTGTGAAACGTACAAATCTCAAATGTATGGGCATATCATCCCAATATACTAAGTACTACAGTATTTAGTAATTAAGTCAGCGAGTCAGTGGTTACAAACTCACCCATTCTCTGAAGACACTTTCTGAGTGCTTGTTTAACAGGTTGATGGTTAGTAGAAATGAAAGTATCCTCTGCTTTTGAGGGTTCCACGGGACCATGTATTCTGGCCACTCCAGCAGAGGTGAGATGACCAAGAGCTACCACTGCACCCAACTGGATGTAGTGAGTCTAGGGATGAGGAGGAGAAGGAAAGGGGGCTAGGGCTAAACATGCAGGTTTACTGTACACAAACAGTAGTTTCCAAAACGTTCACTGTTGCACCATTTTAGATATGTACCTACATACACACTGCATATTGACAAGTCCATAAATGTGTGGATTTTGTACCTATACAGATGTTAGTCATACGAAACGAACATCACAATACCGTTGCACTCCCCTACATGCTACATGCATAAACACATTGGCCGGGCAGTCCTGGGTACTCTTGAGAGAACTGAAAGTGTGAGGTTAATATCTTAGACACTGTTTGCACATCACAAAACATCACAAGAGAAACTAAGCAGCTGTACTACACAACTTTCAGAATGCCGATAGTGAAGTGCTATACCGCGCTCTGGCTGACAAGAACACAAGTACTAGTTGGATTGCATTAGATATTGTGTGCAGACATGAAGAGACCTGTGTGAATGTGTCCTGATAGACGTGAGAGGTGAGAGAGAGGAACTGGTCCTCTGGCAGCAGGTGGGACAGGGTTCCCAGCAGATGACCCGCCGGCTCACTCACACTGGCCCGACTCGATTGGGTGAACCCCTGCAAATCGAGTAATGACCACAGTACAGGAGGCTGTATTCCCACTGACCCTAATCCAGGAAAGACGTGGTAACAGTTGAGGGGAAATCAGATTTGGAGAGGCCACCGTCAACTGCAGGAGACTTAACATTGCGACCGAATGCAACTCTAAGTCTGAGAGGAGGAGAGATCACGGTTAATGACAACACAATGGAGTGTGTACAGTGTGTTCTTGTGTTCAATGGCTTCACTCATATTATATGTACACACATTGAAAGGAAACGTCGCGGTATTTAAGGACCAAATTAAGTAACTGTTACTAAAAAAATTGCACATTTTCACTGGGCCATATTGCCATCTTTATTGACATTAGCCCTTATGTACATGTACATGTACTGTAATGTTCCCATTAGGTGTGTATCCTGTACCTCCGGCAGGTCCCAAGGACTGCAGCAGTAGCTCCAGGTACTGGTCCACAGGAGTCTGAGGGGAGGTGCTGGTAGGGCTGACCAGCTGGGTCATGTAGTGTGAAACAGGGGCCAGTGCTGTCCCACTCAGTCGCTGCTCCTCACTAACCCCCGCACTCTCCTCCAGACACAGCACCAGGAATCCCAGTGCCTCAGTCATTATCGCAGGGGAAAAGGGCAATTTCCCTGCCGCTGTCACAAAGCAGCTGCCTGATTTTAGGAGCAGTTTAGCTCTGTGGTGAAAGTATCCGACAACGTCAGGAAAGGAGGGGCAGGTGGCCACCGACACATTAACCCTTTCCTCATTGGATTTTGGTAGCATTAAACCTTTTTTGCCTGCCTCACGGATATTGTCCTGACTAAAGAGAACTTTTATTAAACACTCAGGAAGTAGACTTAAGCATTGCATTACCTGTCTCCACATGCTACCATGGAGACGAATCTGGAGGGGGTGTGGCTGAAGGGAAACAGGGAGCTGGTAGCTAGAAGAGCTGCCATCAGTCTTGCCTGGGGGACGCTCTGTGAACAGTACAGCAGCAGAGGTGCTTATGTCCCACACCATTACTGCAAATCAAACTGTACACATGCAATGCACAGGGGCGGAGATACTATAGGGGGGCAGGGGGGCTTTGGCACCCCCACCTTTTGAGGATGGGGGGGCTGAGCCCCCCAACTGCCTGCCGCTTGCTTTGCAGTTCGTATAGTATGTTTCGATTTGCTTTTGTGTACAAAATGATTTGTTGAGCCCCCCCCCACTTTTTGAACCCTATCTCCGCCCCTGATGCTTCACTAAATCAAGTCCTATGGTAAAGATGTACCAGTGCACATGAGCATGACAATGAAGGCGATTGCTACACACACAAAGAAACCACTCTCAACGAACAGTGTTTAAAAAAGCCAAGGGTAAACCTAGCATGCTATTTTCACTCCTACCGCATAATTACAAAATAGGGCCCTTTGGGAATTGAAATGTCAAAAGTTGCCCACCATAGACACACACATACACACACACAGCTCTCACACTGTAAATGTTCTCCAGGAGAGCAGCTTCTAGCAGGAGAGCCTTCTGGCCGGCCACTCCCTGGTAGGCCGGAGCCAGGAGACTCATACACTCCTGAACAGCCAGACCCACATCTCTGTCCACAGCACCTCCTGACTCTGAGAACACTCTGAACAGACGGAGGAGGTGGTCGGCATCCTTCTGGAAGAGAGCTGGGACTCGCCTGCAACAGGAACACACCTCATCATCATCACAATATACTACCTTATACGCACATACTGCGTGAGAGTACACTGTGCCTTGGCACAGAAGTTTGAGGTGTGTGTTTGTCCTGTGTTTTTTAATGAAGATTCGAACCCCTACCAGCTAAGTTTCCTTGGATGCTCAGCTGATAGAGCGCTTGCGTATAATGCAGAGTGTCATGGGTTCAAATCTCACCTAGGGCAACTCTTACTTTTTCCTTGAAAAAAGAGTTGTCCTGGGTGTAGTTGACTTGTTTGCCTTTGCCTTAATACAACGAACCTCGTTGTCACAACATCTTCAACAAACTCCGAGTGATTATGTGCACAACCATATAAATAAGCTATACACAAGCTAAAGGCAGTATAGCAGTGTTTGTGTAGTTACAGCAGGTATACAAAGCAGCTAAGATGCGCACACAACTTACTGGGCCAATAGTCCTACTCCTGTGTATGCAACTGCTTTCATTTTATTCTCCTACGTAGAGAGCATTATACAGATCACTGATGTGACATGAAGTAATAGAAAAAGCAATAACCTCATCCGGACGCTCCACAATCTTATAGAGGCCAGTGAGCAGGATGGGAGCCATTACTGCCAGCTTCTGACCCCTTGCTCTAATACATGGAGAGAGAGCAACACTTGTGTTTGAGACAATTAACAAATTGGTTTAACCAATCATACTGTGCGGCAAAATCTTGGTCAGTTAGTAGACACACCCCTTTCTATGCTCAACAGCAGAGTAAGCTGTCCTTCTACCATACACATTAACCAGCTACTACATTACATATCTGTAAACCCTCCTAAAAATACTTGTCCTGTCCTTGTGTCTCCTCGTAGAGCGTACAAAAAAGCATTATCACTCTGGTCATTGATGACAAAAAAACTCTGATGCATGTTTGATTACCAAAATCATAAATTATAGAGTTTTGTGCAAAAATGTAGGCAACATGTTGGGAATGAGAACAGGCATTGAAACACTGGTCTGCTTGAGAAACTGTGGCAAAAGTGGTAGCTATGTACAATGCATATATCGCCCTATCTCTTATTATTATGTGAGATATTTCTTGCACTCTAAAGTTTTAAGCTATTGCTCGTTAACCCTCGGCGCGCATGCGCAGTGTACTTGTCGTGTTTGTCTGTCTGTCTGCATGTCTGTCCGTCCACGAGCTATCTCACTCCACGAGCAATCAATCACTCCACAAATGATACCACGTATTCAGTGTAGGATAAAGGTCGAAAGATATGTGGGGTTTTATCTGAAACTGCTGCGTTCGAGAGTTACAGCGTGAAACACGAGCAAAAAAGGCAGTATGCTAATTAGAACAGGCTTGTACCTCGAGCAGGTTGCTCGGTGTATCTCGAAGGCACAGAAGTCAGAGCGAGCTAGCCCGGGTCAGACTCTCCGCAAGCTACTATACTAGCGTGGAGACCACGAATAAAAATAGCCCATCAATTAGAAGTACATACCGTGCATGAGCAGTTCACCGAGGGTTTGCACTTCAGTGTTTTTTCATTGATTATGCAGGCCATCCAATGTAAGTCAGTGATTATTGTCGGCGTATGCCCAAACGTACATGTTCCCAAAAGCATGATCCCATAAGCTCGCTGACGTTACACGGAATGACCCTAAATCTATTCACCTGTGTTGAATAGCAAGTGCATAATCAATCAAGTAGTGCCTGCTCGCATACTTCTCAACAAGTAAATATAAAATTCTGTGAATTAAAAAAGTGTGGAATATACAGGGATGCCATAAAAAACAAGGTGACAAGACAGGGATGACCTAGTGTATGTGATGCAGTAGTCACATCTTCAAACTGACATTGCTTGCCCGTGCAAATCTTCCTCCACACAAGCCCTATGCACATATTGTCGCCACTTTTCTCACAACATGAATTTGTTTATTGTGAGGACTATGGTAAAGGGATTCTCTACAGGCCCAAGAATGCAGCATTGCAAAACTCATCTGCAGCAAATCTTCCTCCACACAAGCCATATATTGTCGCCACTTTTCTCACAACATGAATTTGTTTAGTGTGAGGACAATGGTGAGGCTGAGACACATAGATCCACTCGTGCATAAGAAATGAGTCATAGCTGCACATCACACAACAGAGATCACTCGTGCTAGCAAGAGATTATAACGACAGTGCATTTAGCCAACACTCTTTAGTCGAGTCCCCTCTCTCAAGAATATTAAGACCACTCTGAAAAGGGATTCTCTGGCGGGCCATGAACACAGCATTGTAAAACTCATCGTTAGTTGAGCGAACACGGAAGTCTTAGACTGCACACAATGCAGTCACAACCAAAAAACGAGTACATAGCTATGAGAGGACAACACCTGTGCATTACTTGTGTAGCAAATGAGTCCTTCTATGAGGGAGCACAGTCATGCTTCGCAACAATATATGGCTTGTGTGGAGGAAAATTTACACGAGCAAGCAATGTCAGTTTGAAGATGTAACAATCATCCCACTGAACTACTGCATCACATGCCCAGGTCATCCCTGTATATGTCCTTGCTTTTTATGGCATCCCTATATTCCACACTTTTTTAATTCGCAGAATTTTTTATTTCCTTGTCTCCTTTCCTTTTTTACGGCATGCACTAATGTCCATATAAAAACTGACATGTATTTATTGCCTCGGACTCTTAGTCGTCATCTACATTTTTTTCCACTTCCAAAGTAGATAAGTACAAAACGTTATAGGAAAAACAGCACTTAATTGCCTGAGGCTGTTTGTTGTTGTTTACAAACTTGTAATTTATGCGTCGATGAAGTCTTATTATAGTAAATCAGTGTACCAAGTTCCATTGTTAGAGGACCCACAATACGCAAGTTATAGGCACAAATATCATTTTATTGCTTGAGGCTGTTTGTTGCTGTTTACAAACTTGTAGTTTCTGTTTCGATGAACTCTCATCATGGTACATCAGTGTACCAAGTTTCATTGTTAGAGGACCCATCATAAGTATAGGCGCAAACACCATTTACAAGTTATAATTGCCTAGGGCTGTTTGTTGCTATTTACAAAGCTTGTAATTTCTGTTTCGATGAACTATAATGGTACCAAGTTTCATTGCTAGTGGACCAACCCATTAGCAAGTTAGAGGCACAAACACCATTTACAGGTTTTTATTGCCTGAGGCTGTTTGTTGTTGTTTACAAATGTTTACATTTTGATACTAATGATGGGTTGCATTTGTGTACAAAGTTTTATCATTCTGGGTATTTGCTCTAACTAGTTAGCACACTTTTTTGCCTCGTTACTTCATATAAGATATGACTAAGTTTTGAGTCACGAAAGTTGTTGTTGGTTACCCAATGCATAGTAGAAAAACAGGTTATGAACATAGGTTACGAGCTAAGAACAATGAAAATGCTGACCAGCAGATTTCGTGACTCAAAACTTTGTATTACATGAACTGGGGCTATTTTTTTTGTTGTTTACATGTTATTTACATTATTTACAAACAAATTAAAATGCTCTTGCATGCCGGGTCATGGATTCAAATCTCTGTGCAAAGTTTCATCTCCATATCTTAAGTGGTTTTTGAGGTACGCTTAACAACAACACCAACAACGAGAAGAAAAAAAATTTAAAACTGACTGATTTGAATAAATCAAGTACCGACTATGCGATTTAAGCCATTTCAAATGTTGTTGGCCACTCAGAAGTGGCTAGTGGCTACCGGCTCACCCAAAGGTAACTAACAAAAATTCAAGACAGTAGGTAGCCTGTTCAGGCCCATGGTTGAAAAACTATTTTATGACCGAATGCGTTTCCGCATACATTGTTACATTATGGTGAAAAACCAATACAAGGACATTACAACTACATTAAAATAGTATTCCTTGAAGTCATGACAACAATAATTGTAACATTACGTGGAGTGTAGGTACATACTTGCGGCAGATATGGTGGGCAAATTCTAGAGTCAGTGACCTCAGCTTGGAACTAGTGACAGTTCCAAACAGCCCATCAAACACCAGCTACAAAAACAGGAGTAACTTGTCCATGGTTAGCAATTGAGAAATGTGAAAGTAATAGGATTTGGAGCTTTTCTACATGCCTTATTGAACTGATATACGGTTATAAGAGTAACATATAAATTATTACACTTTTAAAGTGCAAAGTGCAAATTTGTCTATGGATTTAAGTCAATTTTTGCCACATTAACTTACCTGTATGCATTGAGGGAAGGAGTTGGCAGCAAGTGAAGACTTGAGAAGAAATGATATTATCTTGATTCGAATCCTCAGACTGCAGCCCGACACAGGCTCCACTGTGGGACCTGACTGATGATGGAAGAGAACTATGCACACACACACACACACACATATATAAGTGAGTTGGAAAACCAACAATTAGTTTTACACGTCGGCAGATTCAAATTGACCAATCACATTGCGTAAAACGTGGATTCTAAATCCCGTATTTTCCAAGTGCGTGTTTCCACAGAGACACCCGCCAAAAAATGGTGTCTTAGATGGGGGTGTGGCAAGCTTCCGCACAAAGAAGCTCGCTGTCGCTGAGAGCTCGCCACGACAACTTCAAACTTTCAATATCCCATGCTTCTTCGATGAAAGGCCCCTCTACGATGCAAAAAGAAACTAAAATGAAGACCCTTTTAGTTTCCCCCAGCGAGACCGAGTCTTGCGGAAGACGACGGACCCGGACGATTTTAACTGCCAGCACGGCCTCCGTCTACACAGGTTATACTGCTTGTGAATGGAAATACACGATTTAGCGCTCAGACAGCTACAGCTCAGGGCCCCTCATGCCGTCTAAATCGCATATTTCCATTGACGCGCAGTATAACCTAATTTAGACTACGGTAACACGCAATTGACCAATCAGATTCCGAGTTTAGAGGTAACTATTTTTGTTAGTTACCTTTTCCACGGTAACTATTTCGAAGCCCTGCGGCACTTTTCTTACACGTATTGGCCATGCCTTCAAATTGAGAGACGCCGTGCGAGCAGAAGGCAAACGGAGCTTCTGCAGAGGTTCTTTCTCACGAAACCCCAGGTACTCCGTCTTCTAGTAGGAAGCGGTGCATGATTACAGGGCCCTAGCTACAGCTCGAGTCACACGCGCACACTAGCGGTGCGAGAAGCGCCCAGCGGTCCCGCCTACTTTTGCGTTAGCGAGCCGCGCCGCCTAGAACAAACACCCTTGCTGGTATAGTCGTTGTCGTACGCCTGCTCGAACTGGCTTCCAGTTCGTCCTCAGCAAAAAGCTCCGACCACAGCGTTGTTGTGCGTTGCTAGCGCTGTAGTCTAAGTTGGTTAGATGCGTCGCCTTGGGAACTACGCGATTTAGTGAGCCTCGGGGCCCTGGTAGTAGCGCCCTCGCTGCGCTCGGGACGCCGACAGCCCAGGGCCCTCGGCTCACTAAATCGCATAGTTCCCGCGGCTCAGCATCTAACCTATACGTATTGACACACTTTCAAGCTATGGCCAAAATAGTACTGGGTTCAGTAGGGCTTCTATCAATTTGCCTAAGCTTCGGCGGAAATCTAACACTGGGTGTCCTGTTCGACCAGCGTAACTCAAAAACCGAAAGAGATAAAGCCATGAAATTTTGTAGCAATGTACATATCGATAACCACATGTGCAACGTCATACTTTTTTGTTTGTAAACAATGTTGTTTACTGTAAACAACAACAAAATTGCCCCAGGCAATACTTTATAATGGGCATACTAGTATAACTCACAAAATTAATGGTAAGAGCTATGTGAACGAAACTTTGTAGACATAATGTATTCAATCACCAACATTAAAATAACAAATAGCCTCAGGCACTTTTCTTTAAACCTACTTCTTCACTCCTCAAACTTTCCTATGGTACCAAGCATAGAGATGAAACTTAGTTTGTATCCCTATTATATCATTTCCATGACGATTACATGTTTCCATAACGACCGCATATTGTTTGAAAAAGCTTGTGGAAATTTTCTTTAAAACTACTTCTTCACTCCTCAAACTTGCTAACCGTAGCACGCATGGAGGTGAAACTTGGTACGCATACGTGTAGCATCATTTCCATGACAACCACTTTGTTCGAACAACAACAAATAGCCTCAGGCAATTTTCTTCAAAAATTACTTCTTCACTTCTCATCACTAAGTACGGTAGTACTTAGTATATAGGGATTGACATGGTACCTAGCATCATAGATGTATGGGGCTATGATAGGGAGTTTTGTTCATCTTCTTCCTCTTCTTCTTCTTCTTCCTGTTCGACCAGCGTAACTCAAAAACCGAAAGAGATAAAGCCATGAAAATTTTGTATGAATGTTCGTATCGATAACCACATGGGACTCATCATACCTTTTTGTTTGCAAACAATGTTGTTTATTGTAAACAACAACAAAATTGCCCGAGGCAATACATTATAATGGGCAATACGTTAAAATGGCCATACTAGATGTGTCGGTGTAACTCACAATTGGTAAGAGCTATGTGAAAGAAAGTTTGTATACACAATGTATTCAATAGCCAACATCAAAATCACAACAATACATGTTTGTAAATAACAACAAATAGCCTCAGGCACTTTTCTTCAAATTTACTTCTTTACTCCTCAAACTTTCCAATGGTAGCACGCATAGAGATGAAACTTGGTACGTATGCCTATGATATCATTTTCCATGACGATTACATGTTTCCATGACGACCACATATTATTCGAAAAGGCCTCAGGCACTTTTCTTTAAAATTACTTCTTCACTCCTCAAACTCGCTAATTGCAGCACGCATGGAGGTGAAACTTGGTGCGCATGTGTATTACATCGTTTCCATGACAACCACAACAACAAATAGCCTCAGGCACTTTTCTTTAAAATTACTTCTTCACTCCTCAAACTCGCTAACGGTACCACGCATGGAGGTGAAACTTTGTGCGCAAGTGTATTACATCGTTTCCATGACGACCACAACAACAAATACTTTTCTTTATAATTACTTCTTCACTCCTCAAACTTGCTAACAGCAGCACACATGGATGGTATGCATTTCATTTCCATGACGACAACAGGCATTTTCTCTCTATTATTAATTTTTATAGGGGCTTGCCCCTTTCCACAGAGATAATACGTAGTAGTGTATAAAAATGAGTGGAGACAAGTAAATAAAAAATCCTGCGGATTAAAAAAAGAGTGCATATAGGGATCGTATAAAAAGAAAGGGAGACAAGATAGGGATTGTGTTTGTGGAAGCACAGAGATGCTAGCGAGGAGTTAGGACTCCCACAGGTCATTACAACAGCCCTATATCGTCGTGTCTACAAAGTTTCGTTCGCATAGCTCTTACCATTTGTGAGTTATATGACACATGTGATCCATTATAATGTATTGCCTGGGGCTATTTGTTGTTGTTTACAGTAAAGAATGTTGTTTACAAATAAATAAGTATGACCAGTCTCTTTGGGTGATGGATATCTACATTCTTACAAAATTTAGTTACTTTCTGTTGTTTCGTTTTTTAGTTATGGGTGTTGAATCTGAAGAAGAAGAGGAAGAAGAAGAAGATGAACAAAACTCCCTATCATAGCCCCATACATCTATGATGCTAGGCGGATTAAAAAAAGAGTGCATATAGGGATCGTATAAAAAGAAAGGGAGACAAGATAGGGATTGTGTTTGTGGAAGCACAGAGATGCTAGCGAGGAGTTAGGACTCCCATCCTTACATCACTTATAATAAGGAATGTCGCACATTTATGGCAAGCATGCGCGAGCAGTTCAATTTTTCTGTTCATCTTCATGAATCACGTAGAACATTATGGTATGTGAGGTGTCAAATTATATGCCCTGCTATGAGTAAAAGGGCCCATATGAAATTTTTTCGCATTATTGGTGTCAGAATTTAGGAGAAGACCCGTTCTACAGGGCACTATAAAAACTTGCACACACTTTTGGCGACATACAGACAGAATCGTGCGAGGAAACTTGGATAGACAAGGTTTTATTACCTTAGAGGGCCACATTATGCATGCTGCACTGAGCTTCAACCGTTTGATCACCTCGTACACATGCTTGCTAAAAAAACGGCAACAAACTGAAAGCAGTACTGTCCTCGAAGGAGGGCTAAAGAAGAATAAAATCTATGCGCGACTTCACACATGGATGACATTGGCAATTTGTGTCTATTTGCACAAATTCTTTCCAATAATTAGCAAAGATACTTGTGCAGGCAATTGCTCACCTGAGATGATTGGGGTCGTTTGCCAGGGGTGGCAGTCGTCCCGAGGAACAGTCTCAACAGCTGCTGTACGATGCCAGGCTCCTCCCAGTCCAGGCCGTGGGAGAACTGCCTCACATACCTCTCTCCCAGCTCAGCCACACTGAGAGGATGGGGCAGAGCAACAAGACTCTCTACATTCATGTAGCACTACAAGTAAACCTTGTGTCAAAATGTATCGACAGGTGTAAAGCTTTCAATCAAGGATTGGACACTTTTGTAATGGGAGTATATAGGAACCCGTTTGAATTTGCCAATGTTAATGCTTTCGTTACACACTCTCGGACTTTCTTCCTCGGGAGTTTGTATAATCACTAAGTACAGTAGTACTTAGGGATGACACAGGTTGTCTTGCATTATGCCCATATATTTAAGATTTTTATGTTTCACTTTCTATTTCAATCAGATCCAACTTTTGACACATCAGACTAATTTGTATCGTCACAAACAGCATGTATCCAAGAAATGGTTTAAATCGCATAATCGGTACTTGAATAAGTCAGTTTTCAATTTCTTCTTCTTCTCGTTGCTGTTGTTGTTCAGTTTAGACGTATCTCAAAAACCACTTAAGATATGCACATGAAACTTTGCACAAAGAATGGAATCCATGACCCGGCGTGCAAGAGCATTTTAATTTGTTTGTAAATAATGTTGTTTACATGTAAACAACAAAAAACAACAGGCCATACATTATGATATAAAGTGTGCTAAAGCTAATACCCACAGTGATAAAACTTTGTACACACATGCAACCCATCATTAGTATCAAAATGTAAACATTACAAGTGTGTAAACAACAACAACAGCCTCAGGCAATAAAAACTTGTAAAACGTGTTTGTGCCTATTGCTTATGATGGGTCCTATAACAATGAAACTTGGTACACTGATGTACACTGATGTACCATGATGAGAGTTCATCGAAACAGAAATTACAAGTTTGTAAACAGCAACAAACAGCCTCAAGCAATAAAATGATATTTGTGCCTATAACTTGCGTATTGTGGGTCCTCTAACAATGGAACTTGGTACACTGATTTACTATAATAAGACTTCATCGACGCATAAATTACAAGTTTGTAAACAACAACAAACAGCCTCAGGCAATAAAATGGTGTTTGTGCCTCAGGCAATTAAGTGCTGTTTTTCCTATAACTTTTTATACTTATCTACATTGGAAGTGAAAAAAGATGTAGATGACGACTAAGAGTCCAAGGCAATAAATACATGTTACTTTTTATATGGACATTATGCATGTGCATGCAGAAAAAAAGGAAAGGAGACAAGTAAATAATTCTGCGAATTAAGAAAGTGTGGAATATAGGGATGCCATATAAAGCAAGGAGACAAGACAGGGATGACCTAGTGCATGTGGCATCACATGGTCTATTGTTACATGTGATGCGTTAGTACCATGGATGATGGTTACATCTTCAAACTGACATTGCTTGCTCGCGCAAATCTTCCTCCACACAAGCCCTATATTGTCGCCACTTTTCTCACAACATGAATTTGTTTAGTGTGAGGACAATGGTGAGGCTGAGACACATAGATCCACTCGTGCATAAGAAATGGGTCATAGCTGCACATCACACAACAGAGATCACTCGTGCTAGCAAGAGATTATAACGACAGTGCATTTAGCCGACACTCTTTAGTCGAGTCCCCTCTCTCAAGAATATTAAGACCACTCTGAAAAGGGATTCTCTGGCGGGCCATGAACACAGCATTGTAAAACTCATCGTTAGTTGAGCGAACACGGAAGTCTTAGACTGCACACAATGCAGTCACAACCAAAAAAACAAATAGCTGTCAGAGAGGGCAACACTTGTGCATCACGTGCTTAGGAAATGAGTCATTCTATGAGGGAGCACAGTCATGCTTCGCAACAATATATGGCTTGTGTGGAGGAAAATTTACACGAGCAAGCAATGTCAGTTTGAAGAGATGTAACCATCATCCATTGTACTACTGCATCATATACACAAGGTCATCCCTGTCTTGTCTCCTTGCTTTTTATGGCATCCCTATATTCCACACTTTTTAATTCGCAGAATTTTTTAATTACTTTAAGGTTACTATTAATTGCGGGTACTAATTTTAGCGAATTTAGCGGGAATCAGCAAAACGGCTAAATTATATGTGCGCCAATAATTGTGCCGCACTGAAAATAATAGGTTATACTGCGCGTCAATGGAAATACGCGATTTAGACGGCATGCACGAAGGGCCCTGAGGTGTAGCTGTCTGAGCGCAGCGAAGACGCTACTAAGGGCTTTGAGGCCGTCTTTTCCATTGACAAGGCCGTGCTTGCCGTCAAAATCGTCCGGGTCCGTCGTCTTCCGCGAGACTCGCTCTCGCTGGGGGAAGGAAAAAAATTTTAGCATCGCAGAGAGGCCTTTCATCGAAGAAGCATCCGATATAGCGAGTTTCAAGTCGTCGCGGCGACCTCTCAGCGACAGCGAGCTTCTTTGTGCGGAAGCTTGCCACACCCCCATCTAAGACGCCATTTTTTGGCGGGCGTCTCCGTGGAAACATGCATTGGAAAATACGGGATTTAGAATCCACGTTTTATGCAATCTGATTGGTCTGCCGCCATCTAAATTCGCTTAAATAGAACAAAAATGTTAGACAAATCGCTAAAATTAGTATACGCCAAAAACACTCAGTGCAAAAACGCTAAAATTAGTACCCGCAATTAATAGTAGCCTTAAGGTATACTGTTCTCAATTATTAAAATGGACCATCATGTAACGGCGCAGAAAAAACTTCTATTCATAACAAGTCTTTTACAAATGCAGTGGTGAACCAGTGAGAGAGGAGCAGACCTGGACTTGGGGTCTCCAGAGGCCATTATAAGGGGACACACCACCTCCACAGGGGTCATGACCTCTGCTGACAGCAGCCTCACAATGGCAAGCTTTCTCTCCTCCAGCTGCTCCAGGGAGGGGGTAGCCCCTCCCGTTATCCTGGTAATAAGCTGTCGATTGAGTCCAGGGGGTGGTAACTGGCCTGGCTTGACCTCCAGTGACCTGAGATTGAAATGCATAATACTAGTCTAATGTAATCACTATAGGACGTTGCTACGTACCACCAATTATTGATGCTGGCTTTGGTACAAACCCTATACTGTCGCAGAATATGAGTGTGCTCCCTTGTACGATATGGAGCTTTAGTGTGACTTTTGTGGGAGGATCAAAGGAGCCGCGCATACTTTTATTTCCCGTATTGTAGTATGCGTTCAATATGACTAATATTGAATGTTCAATAAAAGAATTATTGAACTAGCATCAGCATCGTACCCATAGTGTAGACAAAAACTGTTCTGTAGAGGCTTTAGAGGCGAGGGGTGACAGTTCTGTAGAGGCTGTAGAGGCTAGGGATGGCTGAGGCGACCACACCCCTTCATTCAGCTCCAAGTGGCAAGCGAGACCGCGGCCGCGGCACACCGACCGGTCGAACGGCCCAGCGACCTATGAAACAAGTTTCTCTGAGGGAGAAAGAGCCACCATCACGACCTTGTTCGTTTATGGTAGCCTCGAGAACAGAGAACTCGCTCGAGAAGCCAGCGAGTGCGCACATGCGCATGGGTAGTAGGCTAAGCAGTCGTATTTCTCTCGCTGGAGGGCGACGACTGCTACAAAGTCACAATAAAACACATAATGTGCGTCCTATCATTCTATACATACATGACTTAGGGGAACTCGGGTTGTGGTCTCGAGACCCATACAGCACTCGGATGCGCCTCGTGCTGTATGAGTCTCTCGACCACACCCCTCGTTCCCATATATCACGTATAGAACTCTAAACGCACCTTATCTCTCACATAATTAATTTCAAAAGCACATCAGACAGGTAATGCTCTCTCCTTGGTTATGAGTTGTGACTGCATTATGTCAAAGACTTCCACCACATTTGCTAAACTGACCAGTTTTACAATGCTGCATTCTTAGTCCTTTACATAATTTATTCACCACTGTCCTCACACTTTAACAACACCATTTACTAAACTAACTCATGTCCGTGAGTAAAGGTGGCGACAATATAGGGCTTGTGTGTGGGGAAACTTTACACAAGCAAGCGACGTCGGTTCGAAGTATGTAGCAATCATCCATGACGGACCAATAGGTTAGTTCGCTCCCTCTCGCCAAAAACTCTATGCTTTTTGTTACCAGCACCTAACGACGATGGTTCTACGGCATACAATAAGTAATGAAGTGCGAACACTCGGCTAACTGCGCATATGCGGCACCACTAATTGCTGGGCTGCGCTTTTTATGCCTTTACTCGTGGTATCCCGCTAGTAGCTAGCGGAGAGTCTGATACAGGCTAGCTACAGTAGTAGATAGCATGCGGGAGTCGATACATGCCTGCGACTTCTTGTGTTGTGACTTCTTGTGCAGTAAGATACACAGAGCGAGTGGACGTGGTCGAGTACTGATCTGCACAGTGGCCTGTTCACGCCATAACTTTTGAACGCAGCAGTTATACGAAAATCATAATGAAGGCATTGTAGCGATGAACCAGTTGGTATCGCTGTTGTGTTGTCTCGTTGCGCGTTGTTACAGAAAACGTGGTAACAGACAGATGGACAGACAGACACACTTACAAACCAGGTAATATAACCCTCGCTGTGCATGCACGCCGAGGGTTAATAATGAGTCAGTCTCAGAGTTACTACTGAAATTACTAATTTAATTTATCACTCGAGACCGTTTGATGGCCAAACGGTCTCAAGTGATAGATTCAACTTGGGCTACCTCGGACAGTGATATCATAGTGCGTCGCGCAATGTTATTGGCAGGTTTGGTGATTCCATGCTGCATGTGACATGCTGCTGATGTCATATCCCTAGCCTTAACACTATTGTGAAAGCAGGTCCAAAGCAATATGAAAAGCAATGAAGTGCAAACCCTCGGCACATTAAGCATGAGCGGTACCACTAATTGATGGGCAGGGCTATGAGTGTGTGTGCACTCGTGGTCTCCACGCTAGTTGGTCGTGGAGAGTCTGACACGGGCTAGTTACACTACATAGCATGCCGATGCGGGAGGGCCTTTGTGGTGACTTCTTGTGCCTCCGCAAAGTACAAAGAGCAAGCGGATCAGTCGAGGTAAGCTAGTGCATATTGGCTTTTACGCATGTCTTCACGGCATATCTCTCGAACGCATTCGTTTGAGGAAAATCTTTTTATTTTTCAGGCTCGCGTAGTTCTGAACCCATTGGTATCGCTCATGTGCCGCAAACAGACAGACAGACACACAGACCAAGTACAGTAACCCTCGCTGTGCATGCACGTCGAGGGTTAATAACAGTAATTGTACACACCCATAAGGTAGCAGAAGATAGAGAAGGAGAAATTCCACCAATATCTTCCTGACATCCGAATGGTCAGATAGGGGCAGGAGGTCACGGTGCAGTCTGATATCCTGAGGCCACTGGAGGTGGACCAGAGCCGGGACACACAGTTGGAGGACACTAGGAGAGAGGCTAAGAGCATGGGAACTCCAGGACAATACATTATACCTGTCCTGCTGGGCAGTCCTGGACTGGAGGGAGAGGAGGAGGGAAGGAAGGATTCGTACCTGGTCGGCTGGAGCTAGTCTAGGGTAGCCATACCTCAGGTAGACCAGGGAGAAGTTCTGAAACAAACACAATGAACACCCAACCATCAATCTTGACGGGAGTGTTGTTTTATGTCAAGTTCTAAAGCGGTACAAGTAAATTAAAAATCCTGCGAATTTAAAAAGGCATATAGGGATGGTAAAGAAAGGGAGACAAGATAGGGATGGGATACATGAAGCGTGGTTAATGACAGATTTCAGCACGCGTACACCTCCAACCCCATCACACAATCCCTATATTATTGCCTGGTGTGCTACTCTTTTAGGGGCTAAAAGCAAGCATTCTTTCACTGTGCCACTGTTGTTGTTAGTAACATTTCTATTTTTACACTGCCGTATTCCCTTTAATTAAACTCCACTTGGACTCTATAACGGTGTTGGTTATATACTCAGTAGCAATATTTTTTGTACTATAAGTTCTGAGTATTGAAATGGTGAATGTTTAATACTTCACCTGGGCAAAAATATAGCAAATTTGCTAACGGCAGCACACATGGAGATGAAACTTGGTACACATGCATATTACAACATTTCCATAACGACAGCGAACAGCTTTTTGTAACCTTAATTAGCCCTTATACAATGCCACATTCCCAATAAGGGTAAGATTTTTATTACTTGTGGTATGCATGCATGTTAAATCATCTCCATGACAACTGAACATATATTGTGTAAATAACATCAAATAGCTTCAGGTACTCCTCAAACTTGCTAACGGTTCATGGAGATGAAAATTGGTACGAATTAGTATGACATCATTTCCATGACAACATATTATTTGAAAAACTACACAAATAGCCTCAGACATTTACTTCTTCACTCCCAAACTTGCTAACAGCAGCACACATTCATCATTTCCATGACGACAACAGGCATTTTTGTCTAATATTAATTTTTATAGGGGACTCGCCCCTTTCACACAGATATATGTAGTAGTATATAAAATGAGTGGAGACCATGTGTGGTACCATTAGCGAGTTGAAGAAGTAATTATAAATAAAAGTTCCTGAGGCTCTTTGTTGTTGTGGTTGTCATGGAAACAATGTACTATACATGCACACCAGTACCCACAGTCTCTTCGAATTACAGATATCTATGTTCCATGTCCGTTTTTGAGGAGTTCGTCTTGAAGAAGAAGAAGGTGATGTACGATGCTACGTAGGTACCATGCCCATCCCTATATACTAAGTACTACCGTACTTAGTGATACCGCATACATATGGACGAATGAGACATGGTAGAAGGAATCTCATAGAGCTACATACGCATGTAATGGTCTCCGCCTACATAAAGACTTACAACTACTGAAGCAGTCAAGAGAGATAACGCCTGCCATCCTGTTGACGAATGAGACATGGTAGGGTTGAGCTATGGTGGATGCTAGCTTTGAAGTACATACTTTGAAACAAAGGATATGTATATGAAAAGCAAGCCATAATATGCAGAGCATGTATATGCCGCGCACATGCAACAGGATGGCAGGCGTTATCTCTCTTGACTGCTTCAGTAGCTGTAAGTCTTTATGCATGCGGAGACCATTACCTGCGTATGTAGCTCTATGAGATTCCCCAGCAAAAACAATAGTATTAGTATATGTGTAAAGATGTCATGTTTCATGAGCACGTGTTGTGTGTATTTGTAGCTGCTACGGTGACATTAAATGGTGATTACCATGAGAGGGACGGGGGAGGAGGGGTCAGTGAACTGAGCCAGCAGCTGGTCCACGGGCAGCTGTACCTCTGGCCGGCTCTTCAGTCTCTTGCTGACATGGTTCAGTAGCTCCATCACCTACATACCAAAACAACAACACCTTCACTCCTGTTCTCGTCTTTCAGTCCCTCCCTCCTTCCTCTCCCAGGCAGTAGAAATACATTAAAAAACGCGAACCCAAAAGAAACAAAAATAAAGTGCAGTGATAGATTTGGCTATGCACACCCCTCTCTCTGACTGGGTCCTAACACAGGCCAACTGCATCAGTAACCTGTTGGCCAACGATACCTTCACAACACTTTCAATGGGAAAAATTGGTCAAAGTATATTGCTCAAGTTTCCCATAATCCTTTAGCACAGAAGAGATAACATCCCATGCTACTCGAAGCAACTTACCTTGACCTGAACCGCGGGACTGGTGCTGGCAGTCTTGAGGAGAACCGGTGGCAAAACCTCGCCAGAGCCTCCTCCAGCTGGGAGTCCCCTTCAGCCACTCCCAAACGGAGAAACACTCGCTCCAGCAGCTCTGGCCAAAGTCAACAACACATCAACTTCTTCATTGCACAGCCACACGCTTTTACTCACCGAGTTCTTTCGATTCCTCACTAATTCCTTCCATCATGAGCAGTGTCCAGTAGAAGTAGCACACGCAGCAGCTCACTGATGCGTACAGCTCAGCAGAGTGGTGTTGTATACACGCGCACGCTCATGCGTTAAGCTGTTAAGAATGATGATGCGCACGCGCACGACGTGTGACGAGAAGGGGTGTGGGGGCTCGGTAGTTACGTTCCAGGACAGCGGCGAGGGAGTTACCTGCGCAGGGGGCTCACCTTCATAGCTGTTGTTTCCCTGTTGTTAGTGCGTAACAATGGCCTCAACATGAGGACTATATTGATATTCAAAACGACCTTGATACTCTACTAGATTATGTTCAACCCACAAAAGTGTAAATACATGTTTATCACCAGGAAGAGGTCAAACTCTCTAGTACCTCCAGTTATCACTCTTACTTCGTCTGTAATTGAGAGAACTTACTCCTATAAGTATCTTGGTGACACCATTACTTCTGGTTTATCTTGGAGTGAGCATATTCACACTATTTGCACTAAAGCCAGGAGGACCGTAGGGTTACTATATCGTCACTTCTACTTGAACTCTGATACCACCAGTCTCTTGCAACTCTATGTATCGCTAGTTCGACCTTTGCTCGAGTATGCTTGCCAAGTTTGGCATCCACATCTAGTGAGAGACATTGCTAAACTAGAGTGCGTCCAAAAACTAGCATTGCGACTATGTACTAAGCAGTGGACAATGAATTACAGCACTCTTTTGTCTCTGTGACTTTCCATCCGTTGGAAGTATATACTTCTTCTGTCTTTGCACCATGTACAAAATTGTAAACAATAGGATAGATTTCCCTCCTGATGTTTTTATTCCACGGGTCACTCCATTTAGTTCTGCTTCTGACTATTATTTCTTCAGCCTTTTTCTCATACAAATGCCTTTCTGAATTCATTTGTTCCCAGTTCATGCAGCACATGGAATTCTCTGCCATTATCTATACGCTCAGCTGACTCAATTTCCTCATTCAAGACATCATTAATCGATTGGTTATATCAGAATCATAGTCAAATACCACCTAGAGCTATTGTGTTCACTTAAAAAATATATAATCTCGCAGAAGGCTGTCTGAATGCGATACAGAAGCTGAACAAAGAGCAATCGAAGGAACTCTTCTTTCAACTTGAAGTCCCCTTACATATTCTGGATACGATCGCTACTAATCAGAAAGGAAACCTAAAGGAAAGGAAAGGAAAAAGGAAACGTAAAATCTACTATGTCCAGGCCTGGTTTGACTCTGACGGGTGTCAGTTGGGAGAAACTTGTGGCTGGCCTCAGGATGATTGGTCTTAAACTTACCTAGAGAGTGCTTAGTGGCCACTTGTTCAGCCAGTGTATTAACTTACCTCTTGTCCATCTGTCGTCTTATATCCTTATTTATCACCAACCTTCCCTCCAGGAAGTGTTTCCATGACTTTCCCCCCAACTTTGAAGCCACTTAACCAAGTGTCCCATGTAAGAGATGAGATCGAAAGACTGAGTGAAGCTTTATGTGAAACACAAGAGATGAAATGTGCACAAGGCATGACCTAGAGATTTCTTTTCTCACAGTGTTTCGTGATCGACTTCTTGATCTACCCGTTGCTCGTAAGGCTTCTCATGGCAAGTTTTTTCGCGACAGCGAAGATGATTTTCTGTTGGCTAAGGACATGCACAAAATGTTTGCCATCCTCAAACGCCATCGTAACTACCGAAACTATGAGGTGCTTCATGAGGTTGTCAAGAGATTTAGTAAGCCTGCACTCCAGCGAAGGATGAAGGAGTATTGCAAGTCCCTGGAAGCATTTGAGAAAGAAACAAGAATCGATATCTACCTCCGGGCCATTTCTGCTGGTGTTGTTCTCTGGAAAGAAATTTCAAAAATGACCATGAAAATGAACAGGAGTACGTCCACTTGTACGTTGTATGAGATTCGCAAGTTGAAGGAAGACATGACGGAAAGAGCATAATTCGTACAGCATGAACAAAATACACCATGTGATGCCAAGAGAAAGAAGATGGGAGCTCTGGACAGCTGTTTCGGGCTTGTTGGCCCTCATCAGCAGAGAATACCACAACTTCTCTCTCTGGCACCACGAGTTTATAAAAGCTAAGTTGAGCACTAACCCCAGATTTTCTGGCCAGTCATCGCCTAGCTGTCGCCAGGATAAGCTCTCCATTCTAGACGAACCTCAATGGAAATTGGTATACATAGCTACCATTGGTCTTAACCTGGCAAGTATATATTTAGCTCTCCCATTAAACACCCTCAGTGTCCCATTTTCCTTAATGCTGCGGAAACTAAAAAGACTGAAGTTTTAATTGGTGAGGTGTAAGCAAGCCTGTGTAAATATTTTGTAGGTTTGACAAGGGGGGCACTGTTGTGCATACTGTAACTTTTTTTACATAACTCTAAAGAGACGACTTTTCTATATCTGCGCTCGCTCGCCAAAATATGTTCTAGTAACTGTTCATAGTTGTTAACCCTCGGCGCACATGTGCAGTGAGGGTTATAGTACTTAGTTCATGCATATAGTGCGTCTGTCTGTCTGTTACCACATTTTCTGCCACGACGCGCAAGATTTTTTTATATAACTACTGCGTTCCAAAGTTATGGTGTGAGAAAACCAATTGAACGAGGCAATATGAGGCTTATCTCGACCGGGTCTGCTTGCTCTGTGTATCTTGAAGGCACAAGAATTCACAACGAAAGGCGTATATTGACACCCGCATGCTATCTACTACTGTGTCGGACTCTCCGCAAGCTACTTGGAGACCAAGAGTAAACGCATACCAATAGCCCAGCCCATCAATTAGCGGTACCGCATATGTGCAGTGTGCCGAGGGTAGCACTTCACTGTAGGAAAGTAGTTATACATAGCAAGATGTGCATTGTCATACTCATTTTACGCCTCGGGGTTCATGCAAAACGTAGTTAGTTTTGCCGTGTGTCTGTTCCTCAGATATCTGCTCCCATAGGAAGATTCCTGCACTAGTTATGTGCATACAATAGCCCAGTCCGGTCCATCAATAATAGTGGTACCGCGCATGCGCAGTTCGCCGAGGGTTTGCACTTCAGTGCTTTTCATTTTGACAGTATGTACTGGTATATAGTACTTTCTATAATATTGTGGGCGTATGCATATGATTCTCATTGAGGTTGCATGAATATTTTGATACCTACAGCAGTCCGTAAAAGTGTCAAGAAAGAGAGTTTGTTCCCAATGCTTTTTAGACTTGAAACGTCGCCCACCCTAGGAGTGTAACTGGGGGAATTTTAGTGTAGCTGTAAAATACGCTAACATCATTTTTGGTCTGTCCTACGGTATGCAATAGTTCGCCCACTCCAACAAGATTAGTAGGTAAAATACTGCAATAGGGACAAAAGCCAAGCCCCTGAAATTTCTGTTTGTTTGGGGTTTCCATTGTAAAATAGTATGTAGATCCTGTTGAATTTTGGCGTTGTCTTAAAAAACCTTTTTCATCGCACATGAGTCATTGCTCAACAGTGGAGCCAATGTCCAAGTTGTGGGCAGTGACAATGTAAGTGTCAGTAATACTATAGGGATAGGCAATGTATTGGGCTATAACAGGGACACCTACAACTCAAAAACTAGGAAGCCGCAAAAAAAGTGCTGAACTGAGTTGCTTTAAAGAGATTATCGCGTGAAATCAAGCTATGTGCATATGTGCCTTACCTCGACCTGATCTGCTTGCTCTCTTCGTACCTTGGAGGTACAAGAAGAGTGCGTATAAACTGTCCCATGATATCTACTAGTGTGTGTCAGACTACTAACTATGAGCTACTACGAATAAACGCATACTCATAGCTCAGCCCATCATTAGCAGTGCTGCATATGTGCAGTGTGCCGAGGGTAGCACTTCACTGTAGGAAAGTAGTTGTCGATTGCATTGTCATTTTATGCCTTGGGGTTCATGCAAAACGCAGGCCAACAGTAGTTGGTTTTGCCATGTGTCTGTTCCTAAGATAGCTGCTCCCACAGGAAGATTCCAGCACTAGTAAATGAATCTTGGATTTAAATTTTCTAGAGATAAGACTTAGTTCTAAAAGTGAAAAGCGACCATTGTATATACTCTCTGCGCTTTGCACTGCAGCTCGAAGGCTTTTGCAAGCACTCAAGACCTCTCACTGAGGCATCAGCACATCTTGTCCTTTCATTAGTAATCGGTGTGTTCAATGTGATTTATGGAAGGTGTTTATCATCTAAACTAGCTAATTGTACAATTCTTTGTACACATGATGGTGCACAGTATTTTATAAATAGCCTAAGCCGCGCTTGCTTGCACTACCATGTATGGATGTTAAACACACATTATGCTTCTCACGACATATAAGAAGCATTCTTCAAATTAAAAGAGTGTGGAATATAAAATATAGTATAAAGGGCCAGGAGACAAGACAGGGATTACCTAGTGTATGTGACATTAGTGCAATGAGATGATGGTTACATCTTCAAACTGACATTGCTTGCTCTTTGTAATTTTCCATGACTGTGCTCCCTCATAGAAGGACTCATTTCCTAAGCACGTAATGCGCAGGTGTTGCCCTCTCTGACAGCTACTTGTTTTTTGGTTGTGACTGCATTGTGTGCAGTCTAAGACTTCTTCAACTAACGAGTTTTACAATGCTGTGTTCTTGGCCCTCCAATACCTTTACCATTGTCCTCACACTAAACAAATTCATGTTGTGAGTAAAAGTGGCGACAATATAGGGCTTGTGTGATGGAAAAATTACACGAGCAAGCAATTTCAGTTAGAGATGCAACCATCATCCCATGCATCACATGCACTAGGTCATCCCTGTCTTGTCTCCTTGCTTTTTATGGCATCCTTATATTCCACACTTTCTTAATTGTTTATTTAGTTGCCTCCTTTCCTTTTTTATGGCATTGGGGCATAATGCCCATATAAAAAGTAACATGTATTTATTGCCTCTGACTCTTTGTCATCATCTACATGTTTATTTCACCACCTAAGTACATAAGTGTAATTGTTAGAGGACCCAGCAAGTTATAGGAAACACATTATTTTATTGCCTGAGGCTATTTGTTGTTGTTTA